GAACAAATGCCGACCTCAAATAATTGGACCGCCGGAGAGAAAGCGGAGCCGGAGAACAGCCAACCCGCCACTTGGGTGCCGGTAGGCAGCCCCCACCCCCTAGAATATATGTGGCCTTAGTAAGGGACTGAAAAAGTTGCACTTGCAACTGCCTGTAAACCGCTCTGAGACCTGCGGGTCAGAGCGGTATAGAAATCAAATGAAATAATAAATAAATAAATAATAATTAACCACTACACCAAACTGGCTCTCATTACACCAAACTGGCACCGCCTCCAGATTCCAAGGAGGAAGGAACAGGGACGGTCCAAAGTGACTCCTGGAGTGCGGCATCCTCAAATCACAATGCAGGCACTCCACTCTGGAGAGCCTTCTGCAAAAATCAGGCTTTGGGTAGGATTTTGCACTGTGGCATTTTTAAGGGAATGGGGTTATCCTGCAAACAACCACAACAACAGGCAGTGGACTGGGTAACACTGCAAGGTCTAATTCCAGGGTTATATAAATTGGGGTGTATCCCAAAGTCAAGACAGGAGGGCCTGGTGGGATCTAGTCCATGGGGTCGTGAAGAGTCGGACTTGACTGGGCAACTGAACAACAACATCCCAAAGTGCCTTTAAGGATGCAGCAGCTTCAGGTCCTTATTCCTCAGCTGCTCAGCAATGCAGTGCAATGCTATGGGATGATTCCTGTCGCCCAGCCACCCTACTGTGGAGCACTATGTGCAAAAACTGGGCTTTGGACCGGGCAACTCTCTATAACACCTTGCAGGGTACCTGACTTCAGATATTTTTGAGGTGTGGGGGGGTGATCCCCTCTGGATTTATTTTGCTGTGCAGAGCGGTCTGAGCATCCTTAATATTTGGGGTGGGGCTGAAGAATAAGGAACCAGGATCTGCAGACTGGGAACCGTTCGCCACCCTCACTCCAGAAGGGCGTTCTTGCCCTGCGAGCATGAAGCCTTTGCTCGCTGGTCTCAGAGGGGGAAATTCCGAGCAGCAGCAGCAGACTGCCCCAACTTAGGGTGGGGACGGGTGTGTGTGTGTGTCCCCGAGTCAACCTGGGCCGAGCCATGCCCTGGAAGGGCGGGGCCACGCACGGGGGTCCCGCCCCCGGCTCCTCTCTAGGCTCCCCCACAGGACTGGAGCCGGCAGAGCACGCCGGGCGCCGCCGGAGACGATGGGGGGCTGCGCGGGGCTGCCTCTGCTGCTACTGCTGCTTTGGGGGCAGCGGAGCTCGGGGTCTTCCTGCCCGGAACGTGAGTCCCGGGCGGCAGAGAGGGGGTGGCCGGAGCGGTGGGAGGGGAGCCTGCTGCTTCTGCAGGGGACGCGGCGGGCGGTGGGGTGGCTGTGACGGCCGACCCTCCAACCCTGGTCTGTGTGTTCGATTCCTGCAGGCGCCTACCTCGGGGCCAACGGGAAGTGTTTCCCTTGCAGGACCTGCGAAGGTAAGTGGAGCCCCCCAGTCCGCTTAGCCGAAGGAGCAGGCTGCGTGCCCGTGGCGGATCCTTTCAGAAAGAGCCCCCCCCCCGCAACTGTGGGCCTTGGGCGGGTGGGGTTCAAAAAGCCCCCCCCCCCCGCAACTGGGGGCCTTGGGGGGGGGGGGGGGGGGAGTGCATTCATACCAGCCCGAACTGCGGGCCCTACCGGGGGTAGTGGAAGAGGTCCAAAAGTAGCTCTTTCGCGCCGTGTTAGGGTTAGATCACTAGAGGAGTGGGGAGTAAGTTGAGTTCTCCCCGTTTAACTAAAAGGATGGGACTTTCTTTCTTTCTTTCTTTCTTTCTTTCTTTCTTTCTTTCTTTCTTTCTTTCTTTCTTTCGAGCCCTAGCCCATGATAGATGAACATCTGGTATAAAGCAGAGCTGCGGGGTGGGAGTGAATTGCAGTGCGGTCTCCGGCACATTTACTTAGATGGAAGTCCCCCTTTCTCCCCGGGGGGGCTTCCTTCCACCTAAGGGTGTTCAGGAGTTCAGCCTGGGCTTCAGAGACTGTGTGTGTCTTAAAAGTGTGGTCGCTTCTGACGGCTAGAGGAGGAACAATTTAGCTTCAGCATCCCTTCCCCAGCCTGGACTGGACTCTGGAATTCTGCAATGCATTCTGGGGCAAATTTGAGACCCCCCACCACTTGGGTGCTTTAAGAATTGCATGCGTTGCCAGCCAGTTTTTTTCAGGACCTGTAAGTGGCCACCTGTGTCTCTACCAATTTGCCTCCAAGACGCACCAGCTTCTGGCGCACCTTGCTGCCTACTCGGGTGTAGCCTGGAGCATTTGAAACAAGAAACACACTTTAACCCTCCAGGAGAACAGGCCTATGAGAAGAAGTGTTCTGAAACGGCAAATGCAGTTTGCAAATGCATTCGGTGTGGAGAGTGCGGCATTGGAGAGGAGCGGACAGAGGAAGGTGAAGTAGACCCTTGTCAGTATTATTATTGTCCATCGTGCAGGGCACCCGGGGGGCGCTAAGTTAGTGGCTGGGCTATGCCGGCATAGCTCACAGTGTAATTCACACCAAGCCTTGACTAACTTTCCCCATAGAAATTCCCCAGCATGGTTTTCTATCACATGTCTAACTGATGAAGTGGGCTGTGAGCTGTGAAATTCATATTGAAATAAATGTTGTCAGGTGCTACTAGATTTTGTTTCATTTTTGGGAGGTGTGAGCCAGTGAGGCAAAGAGGCACATGGCCAAATGGAGCAGAAAGTTAAACTCTACATCCATACTGAATGTTTTTAAAATGCAGTTTTAATGTTTTATGTATTGGGCATTGGCCCCATCTGTACGCCGCCCTGAGCCCGTTCGCGGGGAGGGCGGGTTATAAATTTAAATAAATAAATAAATAAATTTTACAGTCACCAGTGCACCTTTCAGCTGTAATTGTTCTGCTCTTGCTTTAAAAAACTCCACGTGATTCCTATAGAGCTTGGAGAAGTGCCCTGACTCAGTGATAGCGTATCAGCTGCTTTGCCTGCAGAAGGTCCCAGCTTCAGTCCCCAGCATCCCCAGTGGAAAGTACCAGACAGTCAGTGGTTGTGAAAGACTTGAGGCCCTGGAGAGCCGCTGCCAGTCAGCAGTAGACAATACTGACCTTGATGGACTAGAGGTTTGACTTCGTATAATGCAGATTCATGTATTCATGTATTCATGTGCTCCTTATACATCAGATCATGGTCACATGTGTGTCACTCCCACAACGCCAACTTTGCAGTGGCCAAGCTTTCAGTTTCCACTTTCAACACTTCTCCTATTTTGGATGGGCACTAGCCCCATCCTGGAGGCCTTGGGACAACCAGAAAAGATGGCAACGAAGCCTGGGGAAGACAAAGAATGAAAAGTGGTGCCCTTCTGAGTCCAGTTTGGTGTAGTGGTTAAGTGTGTGGACTCTAATCTGGGAGAACCGGGGTTGATTCCCCACTCCTCCACTTGCACCTGCTGATGTGACCTTGGGTCAGTCACAAGCTCTGGCACAGCTGTCCTTGAAAAAGAGCAGTTTGTGTCAGAGTTCTCTCAGCCCCACCCACCTCACAGGGTGTCTGTTGTGGGGAGGGGAAGGGAAAGGAGTTTGTAAGCCGCTCTGAGACTCCAAGTGAAGGGCGGGGTATAAATCCAATCTCTTCTTCTTCTTCTTCTCTGTCCTTCTCCACTGCCCACCCTGCCCCTCGCTTTCCATTTATACCCTCAGCACCTCCCCCCGGAATCTATAGATAAGAGTTTAGTATTAGTCAGGAAAAAGTGTATCAGACAGAGTATGCCACTGCAGCGTGCACAGCTGGATTGTGCAGAGTCAAAACATCAGACTTCCAAATCATAGTAATAGCAGCTAAAAGAAAGATACATAATCTGCCACACCTATTTGATCCGAGACAATAGTGGAGAGGAAACACAACCTATCAAGGGCAAGTGAGATGCTCCGATGGACTTCTGCTTATGGAAAGGACACACTCGATCTTTGGCTCTGGGCTTGAGAAGGTTCTCGGCCCAGTGGTGGCCATTTATTTTTTATTTATTTATTGGATTTAGATCCCCGCCCTCCCCACCAAAGTAGGCTCAGGGCGGCTTACATAAAGTTGTTAAAACAATTTAAACACACATAACATCTAAAGTGCAATGCATCCATCCATACGTTCCTGTGCGGCGACAATCTTAATCCAATGTTTTCGTAACAGGAGTCAATTAGTACAGACTTAGATGATGAACACCATCCCAGGGAGGCTCCAAGTCATCTAAAGATATTAAATGTGGTCAAATGCTTGGTGGCAGAGCTCCGTCTTGCAGGCCCTGTGGAATTGAAGTAAATTGGGACCATAGCTCTTGAAGTAAGTTGGGACCATTGGGACCATAGCTCTTGAACACCTAGCTTTAGAGGTAAAAAAACCAAAGATTGATTCCCCACAAGCAGCTGTGTCGCCCTCGCTTTCCCCCGCTTGCATTGGTCAATTTCGCACTGTTTGCTGCACGGCCACATTTTGACCCGCAGCTCCCCGATTTCCCGTGTCTTCTTGATCTCAAAAAACAAGGATCGAGAAGACACGGGGGTCGCGGGGGGGGGGGGGAATCAAAGGGAGCTATGGGTCAAAATGCGGCCGCACGGCGTATAGTGTGAAACTGACCAATGCAAGCGGGGAAAACAGAAGAGTGAAAACAAGCTGGGGAAACAGCTGCTTGTGGGGAATCGGTAAAAATGTTGCTGCTGTCCTACAGTGCTTTCAGGTTCATTCACAGCAGCCTTTTACCTGCAATGCTTTAACGTTTTCACTAGACAGCTTGCCCCTCCCCCTTATTTCTCCTATGCCCCTGAAAAGAACCAGATTGTAAAACTTTCTTCCCTGGTCCTTTGGAGGTGATCCATTTGCAACCTGGGCACTGTGATCCATTTGCAACCTGGGCACTGAGCCTGCCTGTGAGAGTGGCGCTCCTGCAGCACATGACTCGTCCAGGTGCTCTGCTGGGTTGCATTGTACTCCCTTCTTCTGTATGTGCCTCTGTGTTTCTCATACGCTGCCAAAGGTGCCCGCAAGGGACATTTAACAATCAAGTCAATGGTAAATGCCGACCATGGACACAGTAAGTACTCCCCACCCCCCAAAACTCTCAGTAATACGGCTGTTAGATCGTGTCTGTCATAATACTACTTTTGTGCTTGAATGCAGATGTCCATCCAATAAGATCGTGAGTCCTGGGACGGAGAAGGAGGACGTGATGTGTGTGCCCGAGTCCGAAGACCCAGCACCGTCACCAACTGTCCCAGGCTCAGACACCACTGTACGCATAGGTGAGGTTTTGCTTCATGCCTTCTTTCTAGCGAGAGGTCACTAGTTTTACAAATGTTCAGAAGTGGATGGGAGTGTCCTTGCTTTGCTTAGATATTCTCTCTAGAGCAGTGGACTTTCAAGAGGGAAGCTCTGCTTTAGCAAATTAAGTGATGCAACAATTCGGACTACTGTGGCGTGAAAACTACCAGCCTTGCTCTGCCTTGGCTTCCTTACACCAGCACTGTTTTCGAGAGCGTCCACATGATGCCCTCTGTTGGTCCTTCTTCACTGTTTAGAGAGCCAGTGTGGTATACTGCTTAAGGGCAGCGGGCTCCGGTCTTGAGAAGTGGGTTTGATTCCCCACTCCTCCTCCACAGGAAGCCTGCTGGGTGACCTTGGGCCAGTCACCGTTCTCTCAGAACTCTCTCAGCCCTGCCTACCTCACAAGGTGCCTGTTGTGGGGAGAGGAAGGGAAGGCGATTGTAATCCACTTTGAGACTCCTTAGGGTAAAGCAGGGTATAAGAATCAACTCTTCTTCTTCCCCCCCTGCTTTACTAAGATATAGTACAATCTTTAAAAAAAATCATAGTCCAAGGACCTTTGGGCATCCCATGAATGGAACAGTGTGCATTTTTCAGGTTCTGCCCATATCTGCACCATCTTCCTTGCCCCCCCCCCCCCCCAAGACATCCTCCAACAGGCCAGAGGGCTGTAAAAAAAATCTGTTATTGACGTGTTGTTACAGTTGGATAACTTCGTAATGATCAGTTGCCACAAGCTAGTAGATACCAGCTTTCATTTTTGAAAAAGTCTGTAAGCCGATGTGGGGATAAGGGGCTCGCCTTGCAGTGGCTGACCTCCTTACTCTGAGGTCGGGGACAGAGGGTGGCGTTTGGGGGGGAATTTCCCCAGCAACACAGGTGTGCCACAGGGATCGATTCTCTCCCCAATGCTGTTTAATATCTACATGCGCTCCCTCGCCCAGATTATCCGGAGGTATGGGTTGGGTTGTCACCAATATGCTGACAACACCCAGCTCTATTTACTGATGGACAGCCACCCGGACTCTCCCCCAGAAAATCTGGACAGGGCGTTACAAGCTGTGGCTGGATGGTTACAACAGAGCAGACTGAAATTGAATCCGTCAAAGGCGGAGGGTCCTGTTCCTGGGTTGCAGGGGACCGGGACTGGGGATCAGGCTCCTAGCTTTTGGCCTTTGGTGCCAGCGTCGAAGGTCAAGCCTGGGGGAGTTTCTGGATGCCTCACTAACTATGGAGGCCCAGGTTGCTGCCACTGCCAGGTCTGCCTTTTTCCATCTGCAACAGATCAGACAGTTGGCCCTATATCTCAGCCCCTGGGATCTGCCTACAGTGACCCATGCAATGGTCACTTCCAGATTGGACTACTGTTATTCTCTCTACATGGGGCTGCCCTTGACTCTGCTTCAGAAGTTGCAGCTGGCGTAGAATGCAGTGGCACAGGTGTTGACTTCGTCTGTGTGCACACGTATCCACCTGGTGCTGCACTGGCTGCCTATTGAGCTCCAGATAGGTTTCAAGGTGTTGGTACTTACCTTTAGAGCCCTATATGGCCAGGGGCCTGCATATCTGTGAGACCACCTCTCCCTCTATGAGCCCCGAAGGGCTTTACGATCTGCCAGTCAGCATCTCTTGGTGGTCCCTGGCCCCAGGGATGTCCATCTTGCCTTGACTAGGGCCAGGGGGGCTTTTTTGGCCCAGGCCCCTCCCTGGTGGAATGAGCTCCCATATGAGATCAGGGCCCTGCGGGATCTTTTACAATTCCGCAGGGCCTGTAAGATGGAGCTCTTCCCCCAGGCTTTTAGTTGAGGTGTCTGGCGTCCCTCCTCTCTAGTGGGCCTCCCCCTTAGCGGGTCAGATCTGTATTATCATCTAGGAACCCAAATCTGAATGAGGCTTGGGTCAAAATTTTTAGAATGTTATCCTATTTTTATTTGAGGTTTTTAATTATTTTTGTCTATTGTATACGGTATTTTGATGGAACCCACCCTGAGCCTGCTATGCGGGGAGGGCAGGATATAAATATAATAAAATAAATTAAATAAAATTAATTCCCCCCTCAAAGGTAGAGGTCGGATTTGAATGTTTCAGTGGAGTCAAATTGCAGAGGAGGAGTTGCGTAAATCTATAGCAGCCAGACTAAGCCCCTCCTTTGGTCCTAACGTATTGTTCTGCCTGTCAACTGAGATCCTCTTCTCCGGCCTCGCTCTTTGTGCCCCTGGGTGGGTAGCAACCAGAGACAAGGCTTTTTTGGTGGTGGCATCACACCAATGGAATATCCTTAAAGCCAGCCCACAATGTACTTTTTTTTTAACATCAGTTTTTTAACTAGGGTGGTTCATTTTTAAAAAAATCTATTTTATTACCTGCTTCAAGATGCTTTTTATCAAAATATCATTTTCGGTGGCTCCATTTTAAGCTTTTATACCCCAGCTTGCTTTTGCTGACCTGTTTTTATTGGCCTGTCATTTATTGACGATGGCCCTGGTCACACGGAGCATTAGGCATGCTAGAGAGACGGAAGATAGGCGGACTTTCTGGGCGCAATCTCACCGCCACATCTGGGAAGCGTAGAGCTCCCGTGGCGCACCTGAGGCTTCCCGCCAAAGATCCTGGGTAAAAAACTAGTACCTCGGAGGTACTAGTTTCCGGAAACCGTGGGGCAGGGGCGGGTGTCTGATCGCGTTTCCGGTGGTAGTTCTTTTCTTTTTTTTCATTAACATTTTTTTATTTTATCATTCAACATTCAACAAACATAGTCAACACAATTGAATACCACAAGAAATTGAACATCCGATGAAAATGCAACATAAAATACCAGATACATATGATGGAAAACTTCAAAGTATTTGAAAGGCACTTTAAATTTAATTGTATCAGAGTTGAAAACAAATTCTAGGAAGGGAAACCATTTCGCGTGCAGTGAGGGGCTATGTAATGGGTTATTTCTTGAGGTCACTACATCAGACAATTTGTCCATGATATAAAAATCCCAGACTTTCAGGCGCCATGCAGAAAGAGTTAATTTATTTGTCGATTTCCAGCTGCTTGCGATTACCACTTTGGCTGCTGTCAACAGGATTGAAATGAGTTCTTGGCTGTGTTTGGGAATATGTGGAGCATTCCATAGGTACAGAAGTACTAGCTCCGGTTGCAAGGGTATCAGGTGACCTGTGATATCTCTGATGGAAAGGATGACCTTGGACCAAAACCTCTGAACTTCAGTGCATTTCCACCAACAGTGAATAAATGTTCCTGGCTCCCCACAAGAACGGCAACATACCGGTGGTAGTTCTGGCGCCTGCCCATGTCCCCTCACAAAAAGGTTTTTTCCCCCCCAAGTCTCCACGGATGCGCACAAGCACCCAACGGAGCATGCGCACATTTCAGTTAAAAAAAACAAACACAACCCCGTTTGTCGTGCTGCTCCGCTTCTTTGCCGCATTGTGTGATTGGCACCTCCCCCTAACCACGAGAGCTCGACGGGACCTCAACCCGACGCCTGATCGTGCAGTCGCGCATTAGTTTGCTCCGGGGCAAACAGCTACGCCTCCCCCCCGCATTTTTCTGCCCGTGTGGCCGAGGCCTAGGATTGTTTTGTTGAGATGTTTTTATTAGCATGATTTGTTTTTATGGTCTGCTTGTTTTTGTTTTATTGTTGTAAACCGCCTAGACTTCTAAATACAGAAACTGTTTAACTGTGGGACTTCTTCTGAGGACTGTCTTCTGCCTGTTCTTAGCAATCACCACCGGTACCGCCCTGACTGCAATTTGTGTGGGGCTCCTGCTGCTGCTGTTCTGCATCTTCTTCAGCTTGTGGGCCCAGAAGAAGTTCCCGGCTGTTTTCAAGAAACGTAAGGCCAAAGATATGTCCTGTTTACAGCTGACATCCAGTTTCTTGCTTTCTGTTTTGTTTGTTTTTTAATCAAAAGCAATCTTCGAGTCCTTATGCGTGAGATGAAGTTATTGGGGGGGGGGGGGAAATGTTACTAGTTCTTGTTGAAATCGCGTAAGTTGGAAAAGTCAATTAATAAGCCTTTCAGGGGCTTTAAGGTATGAATAGCAAAATCAGTCTTTTGCAAAACAGTAAAAAATGGCAGCAGATTATGCAAAGTGGGAGACATCGCACAAAGCTTCTTTAATTAGCACACTTCAGAGAAGTTGGAGATTTCAGCTTCTCATGGAGTAGAACTGACCTGCCTTAGGTGAGAATTTTAACTTTTGTAGTGTGCAGCGCCACGCCAGATGCAAAGGAACCCTTTCATGCCTCGTGTCTTTCCTTTCATGCCTCCCTGTAGTCTCCCTCAAGCCCCTGGTGCAGGAGGTGGAGGACTGCAGTTGCCGCTACCCAGAAGAAGAAGAAGGGGGAGGCAGCGATATCTCGGGCCTGAAGGGGGAGCTACTGGAAAATATTCCTTAACCAATCACAAAACCCCAAATTCCCCCCCCCCACGAGCAAGATGGAGGCCAGGAATGTCAATGCAACGAAGAACAATGCAAAAGGACCTTAGCAACCCCCTCTCCTGTTGATCAGGGACGAACAGCTCCAGAAATGTAAGCCTCCCCTCCCTACAGCTCAGAAAGAAGTTTGCGGGAGCGAGAAAAGAGGACTGCTTTGCCAGGGTCGGCATAGTACAACCGTCCCCCTGGACTGACACCCTTTTCCTAGGACTATGGCATAGAGGTTGCATTGTGGGAAGACCAGGCTTGGCTCTCTCTTTTTTTCGGGGGGGAACAGAGGGGTCTTCAGGGCTCTCAAGCCCCAGGCTTCTCACGGCTGCCTTTCATAATGGAACAGATAAAGTGGGATTCTGAGCTAAGAGAGCCGCTGCAAACAGATGATTCCACTGCAGAAAAGACCCCTGCCGCAGGATAATCGTCAAGCCTGCCTCAGACAGGAGACCTGAGGCCCTGCTAAGGGCAATGGCAGGAGAAACAGAACCCGGCTCCTCACAGTGATCTGATCTCTTGCTTCTCCCATTCATTTCGATTGGGCTTCTGCAGGAGAACTTACCAGGCACACGGAGCCCCATTTTCATAACTGTTGTGAGATATTTAGTTCGATTCGCTGTTTCAGAAGGGAGTGTTCCGCCCACAAGCTCTTCTGCAGTAGAATTAGCAGACCCCCCCCCCCAGCCCCTGCATCAACCCCCAGCTCCTTAGCTGTTTTTGCTCCATTTAGGTTCGTACAAAAAAATGCTCAGTCTGACAAAATGACTCATCTCTTACGTCAGTTTTGGATGTCAGGTTCACTGGAAACATCTGTAATAAGTTCTGAGGTTGATATCTGTGCCGCACCTGACGACGGTGGCTGTGTACTTCCGCCCAAATGACATTTGCCTTTGATCTACAGGGAGGCGAGAATACGCTACTTGTGATCGGCTTTCTCTTCTTCTACACCACAGGGTGGGGGTGGGGGTGGAAAGACTGAGTGAATCTTGAACTTTCCAAGTCACACCTAAAAAAGAGCAGTGGCTTTGCAGAGGTTAAATTGCTTGCTTGAATTTGCACCACAAGACCCACAACTTTGTACAAAGAAGCCCCAGTCGTATGACCAGTGTGACATTCATGAGAGAGCTGACGTACAATACGTTCTAGAAATGCACCCCAGAAGCCAGCAGGCAATGAGCAAAATCCTAGAAAATTTCTTTATTGTTGCTCTTAAGATTTTCACCAAAAACATTCCATAGGGGAGGCTCAGCTTTGGGGAATTACAAAGCAGGATCATGAGCTTGCATTTTCTGGGAGCTAGATATACCCCCCAAATTGGGAGATTTTGTTTTTTAAAAAATAAAGAATATTTACCAGAATTAGCATTGGTGGTCTCTCACTATGACTGAAAATGCATCTTCCATATTATGTGTTTTCTTGGGCAGATATTTAACAGATTTCAACAAAACACTGCCCTGGGTAGGAGGATTCTAATCAGATGGACAATGAACCCAGATGTAGCCTTTGAAAAAAGATAGGGTATCTTCCCCCAAAAAAACAAATTCAAGGAAAGATACAAGATCATTGAGCATTATTGATTTTATTTACTTCATTTATACCCCGCCTTTCTCTCCTAATGGGGACCCAAAGCAGCTTACATAATTATGCAGCATTAGCATCCCTTTCGTTGGGATGCTTAGTTCATAAAACAGTTCCAGGGACTGGGGGAAGGGCATCAGCATGAGGGGACCATCCTTCTAGGCTTACCTTCAGCCACAGGTGTTTCTTAATTTGGGGGGGGGGTTGCATTTGTGTGTGTGTGTGCGCGCGCCCATGCCTGGAAGTCATGGCAACCTCTGGCGACTCCTACCGAGGCACGGAGGACATTCAAAGAAGTGGCTTAACAGCATGCCTCTGCCTTCCAGCCCTGGTATTCTTTGGAGATCTCCCATCCAAATACTTGCAAGGGTTGGCCCTGCTTAGCTTCTGAGATTGGGCTTGCCTGGTCTATCCAGGTCAGGGCAACCAGAAGTGTTTCTTGAACTTCCAAAGAGGGTTGCTACATCAGTGTACGAAGGATGTGGCTATATGCCCTCCTATCAGACGAAGCTGTCAAATGACTAGAGGAATCCAGGAAGGGAAACTGCAAAATGCAGTTGATCTGCAGAATCAACAAAGCCCTTGAACAGAAATGCTTGTTTGTTCACCGAAGTCTAGAATTGCAGCGGTTCCCAGCAAACTACTCAACTGGTGAGTCTGACCCAAAATTGCTGCATTTGGGGAACTTTCTGTGCTTGAAAATTGGGCCTGCCATGCTTGAGACCTGTGAGGGGCTTTCATGGGGCTCAGAGATGCATATAAAGACTTGGAATAAAAGCCTTTTCCTTCGAAGTTGTTTTCATTTGCTTAATTTTATCTACATATGATCCTACAGAGTTGCTTTAGTCTTGTATCAGCCCATCAAGCCTAGCAAATGTTTGACTCTGCCTGCCAACAGCCCTCCAAGAGCTCAGGTGGAGAAAAGTCTTTCCCAGCACCTGCCACCTGAGATTTTTAGTGGCAAGATGCCCAGGATCTTCGGCATCCAAATGCCCCTGTCAGGGTTGCCAACAAGTCTGAAGAAAAATATCCTGTCCGTTTAATAGATGCTTAATGTGTGGTAATGGGCAAGTGTAGCTTTTCATGACGTGGAGCTAAATTTGTCTGCAGAATGCGTACCCTGCCTTTCTGCCCTTATCATGACCACCAAGGCTACTAACAGTGAACACAAGTCACAAAAACTTATTAGAAAAAAAAAAAGTCAACCCAGAACTAAAATACACGCAGAAAAGCATAGAAAACAGGAATTAAAACATAGGGCAGGAAGGAGGGATCACAGAGAGGATGTTAGACAAAACAAAGAAGTCTTCACCCACGGGTGGAAGATTCTGACAGAAGGGGAGAAAACTCCATAATTTTGGTGTCGTCCTGACTCAGAACTGGTGTCGTCCTGACTCAACAGGGTTGCTACCTGCCTAACGTCAGAGGGACGCAGTGATGGGACAAGCTCATAAATAACATCCCATCAAGCCTCTGTTAAAGGGACAGGGCATTGTTCTCCAAGCTGTTGGCAACTACCCTGTCCTGCTCTGTACTTTGCTGTGGGATCAAGCCACAGAGAAGATCACAAATTGTTTTATGAAGAGGATTTGTCTTTCTGTTACAGCTGCCCTGGTAAAGACCAACCATGGAGGAATCATGGGCTCTCTTCCTCCTGCGTCTCTTCTCCCCTGTATAAACCCCACCACCACGTGACATAATATCTGACTTGCCATCCATGGTTGGGTGTTTCCATCAGTGGAAAGGTGGTGGAAACACCTCTCTTCCTCATTTGCAAGGTCTTCAGTCCCAGCCCTCTGACACTCTACCTCTTTGGTTAATCCAGCTGGGGTCAGTTTCTTATGCCAAAAAAATTCTAGCTAGGTGGGTCTGTGGTCCTTGACTTGTCATCAGTGAAACCAGGCCACGAGATAACTGGTTTTTAAGGCTCCTTGCACTTGAAGTGAAAAAGCATGTGGGGAAGAGGCAAATTCACTACAAATGCTACCACCGTGCCCATCTTGTTCTCCTGAGGGTCTCCAGTGGGCAGGTGGTCAGTGTATCGATGCCCTTCACAGTGACTCAATTTACACGGAATGCTCACATAAGGACTTCTTTAATGAAAGAGATACCACATTTTGTTTGTATATATTATATACACATGTTAAACACATGCACCGATTCAAAAGGAAGCTGTGTGGAACCAGCTTTTTCTTCAGCCAGACACTTTGCAATGGAACTGCTAAGCAGCACCTGCTGCTACCAGGTCCTGCTCATGGTGCAGAGGATTCTTATATATATAGATATATACATATATAGATATACACATGCATATTATTCTTTTTCTTTAAAAAAGAAAAGTGCAAATTAACACATTTAGCACCAATTCAAAATTGCACATCTTAAAGTCCAAGATTGGTAGCATCTGAACCAATACTTGGAGGAAGGGGAAAATAAAGAATAGAGGCACATCTGCTTGCTACTAGGGTGGCCTGTGGAAGATCAGCTTCTAATCTACCTTGAAAGCGTTTCGTGCGTTTTGGCCGTTCATTTACTCACTGCCTGCCAATCACGTTTGCATAAAAGTAATATAACTGTGGAAACACAAAGCGCTTAATAGAATATTCTGCCTGTCTATTTTTTAAATCTCGTTCACATTTCCTATTTGAAGGTCCCCTGAAAGGAGAAAAAGCCCAGACCTCTTGTGTTGCCCCGACTCCGTCTTGGCTCCCCCTCATTTCCCTTGTTATAGAACATTTGTGAGAGGCTGTATCTGTACTCTCTGTTGAGAAGATGTTTTAGCCAGTGGTTTTCCCCGGGATAGGACTGGGAACCACTGGCTTGCAGGAGCATCCTACTGTATTTCTGGTGCCGCTTCTGCCTCCAGTCACCCAACAGCGCACTGCAAAGCCGTTATTTCCCACTGTAGTGAAAACATCCTAATGACTAGCTGGTTCTATATGGCAAGGGTTAAAACAGTTCCTGGTGGGGAGGAGGAGGAGCTGCCACAGTTTGTGCTTTCTGCATTACCCCCAAAGATGAGCTAGGGCCATACTGCATTTTGTTTAAGCTGCATTGCTTCCATTTTCAGTTCTTCTGAAACAAAAATGGTGGCTACACTGGAAATCTCTTGCATCTGCCTCATCTGATGTCTAATCAAATGCTTCAGTGCTAGAACAGAGAAAGCCCTGAGCAGGAACTCACTGCAGCGTGGCAGACTTGTCCCCTGATGGCGAGGTACAAGGAAGATCCTGCAGTCCCGATGGAGAAATACACTCTTCAGTGGCAGAGGGGATGGATAATCAGGAGCTCACTGTTGCTTGCAGCCTTCCTTTTTGTCCCTGGATTTCTGACGGCCCATCTTTTCAGGCTGCCGCTTGGTCGGGGACACAAAGGTGGGTTCTGAAATCTCGTCCATATAGTCAAAGAGGCCATCCACTGGAACAGGACGTATTGAGCCCACAGCTAAAGAAAAGGGAGGGGGGAGAAAAAGAGATTTAACTCTACCAGCAGAATCTTTCTCACCTGCCAGAGCAGGGAGTCACTCAACCATCTCCCATTTCTAAGCACTTTCTCTTCAAATGTAAGTCCCTTTCAGTTGACTTAATGGCAGCCACCAAAGCAACTGTGGTCGAACGCAAAGCTGTCCATTTGACAGCAAAACAGAAAGACTTTGCTGAAATGGGTCAGAGTAAAAACAGTCCCATAAACAGCCCCCCAAACACATTATAGGAACGCTTTGATTGTTACCCCCAGGATGGGCCAGGATGCCAAACATTCAACAAGCAGGCTGTGGGTGCCCTTTTAATGCACAATAAGTACTAATGTATCATTGTGTGGTCATCCAGCAACAGTCACCATTTTCTTGGGGGGTGATGGAGCTATTTATGTGCTGGGCACATGGAAGGTAACAGAAAAACAAAGGATGCAGTTTCAAGCCACAATTGAAGGGAGGGAGAGATCAAAGATTCCACTGCCCCAGCAGAACTGTGGGCTCATCCATGCAACAGTGCTATTTCCATCGTCACCCATGTCATGGATAAGACCTGTGGCTAAAGCACACCTTTGCTCCACCATCTGTGCAGACAGACCCTTCTGCATACAAATACCTCTTATTCTGTCTCCACAGCTGCCATTCAAGAGCAATATGTTTGGAGTGCAGAAGCATAATTGCCACTTGCTGTGCCTCTCTTTTGTTCTCCAGATCACACATCCAATGAGCTGGCACAACTTTCGTACATCATACAGCCACTTTGGAAACTTTGGAGAAAGGTGAAGTTTTTTTTTTAAAAAAATCAAAACACATTGCTCTTTTTCTCCCTCTACAAGTATACATTTTATCTAACAATATGCTTTTGTTCCCAGTCCAGAGTAAATTAATTACCCTTGAAGCAGGATTGCTTCATCGCCTGTGGTGCATCAGAATTGCCCACAGATGAACAGGGAGCAGGGTTGCCAAGTCCTACCTGCTGCTGGAGTGGGGGGCTCCCGGCTTGTTCCTGGAGCGCGCACACGCCGCAACCCCGTCACCTGGAAGTGACGCGACCACGTCGGGCACGCTGGGGGCGGGGCCACGACCATCCGAGGGAAAACCATAGTTTTCCCTCGGATGACTGTGGCCCCGTCCTCAGCATGTCCGGCGTGGTTGTGTCACTTCTGGGTGATGTGCACGTCGCGTACTTTGGGGGTGGGGTCCCCCCGGGGACCTGATCCGCCGGCAGCTGGGAATGGACCTCTGGGGTGGGGGTTTCCCCACCCCCCGGGGGGACTTGGCAAGCCTAACAGGGAGTAATTTTGTTTTGTGGCCACTGCTGTGCAGTAAATGGCTGACAGGAGTGCAGGGGTATAGGAGGTAGGCTAATGAACCTTTTACAGGCTAATATTAGTAGCCTATGTGGGTCTAGAGGCCAGGTAGGTTCGAAATTCCATGGGATACAAGTTGATCGTGGCTAATTTGTCTGGCTGATCTCAATGGGCCTTATGCAATTTTCTCTGTGTATACAGTCACGGTGGCACAACTCAGAAAGTATCTGTAACTTTACATTTGAAAATTTCCCTAAAATGCCAAGATCACAGATGCATGTCTAAAGATGCTGTCGACATAGATGCCCACTAATAGGACGTTGCATGTGAGCTGCATGCAAGAGGGGTACACCTAAGTGTAAATTGCAATCCTCCCTGAGCCTGTTTGCAGGGAAGGTGAAATATAAATGTCAATAAATAAATAACACACCGCCTTCCCTTTCAAACAAGTGAAAACCCCAGTAGTATGAAAAGACCCTCAAAAGAGAACAAGGCACATGAGAGATGGATATTCTCAGAGTAAGAGTCTGATTCTGCTTAGTCCGAGTTTCAAATTCCTGTTTTTTAAAAAAATATATATTTTATTTGATATAGATTTACAGAAAAGTATAAATAAGCTGTGAATCTAAAGGAATAACAATTAATAATGAACAATTAACCGGGGTAACCATTATTAAACAATTATGAGATATCTTAATCTACGAATCCCACAGTTATTATAAATTATACTAAAGTATTAGAATTATTATTAGTGTAGTGCTAACAATGAATAGTATTTAATGAACGAAATGTTGGTATTATATTTATGTCCATTGATTATTTTTTCCATAAAGGGGAACAGTTTCTCTATTAACTTAGACTGGAGAATAGTAGTATCTGTACTGGCAACATTATCTGAAATTTTATCTAAAATAAAATAATCCCATATTTTAGCATACCAACGTTGCACCCCGGAGAGGGGTTGTCTTCCATTTTAATGCTATGAGATGTTTTGCTGCTGTTAACATAGTCAATATTATTTCTTTTCTAATATTATGAATTTTAAGTGGATCCCATAAATTAAGGAGGACTAAATCTGGTATCACAGGAATTGTATAGTCGGTAAGTATTTTAATTTCTCTTAGTATCTGTAATCAGAAATCATTGATTAGTCTACATGACCACCAATTATGGTAAAAGGTCCCTTTCTCTCCACATTGTTTCCAACATAGTGGAGATGTGTTTGGTGCAGAATATGTGATATGAGGTGGAGGCAAGTACCATCTTGAAATTACTTTATAAGTTTTTAATTGGATATTAACAGATTTAGATGTATATACTGGAGAATTCCATATTTGAGACCAGTGGTCTTGATAGCTCTTTACCCAGGTCTTTGTGTCAGGTTTTTTGATAGTGTAGGATTTTCTTATTTTGTGGTTGGAGTAATATCGTATATGTCTTAGATATCAAACCCTTTATGGGGTGTAGATTCATAGTATAATATTTTTTCATATTCCGTCAGTTTACAAAAAGGATGGGTTGAGCTTATAGATTGGAATAAGTTATGTACCTGAAGGTATTCTTACCAAGGAATTTGTGTTTTAATAATATTTTCTAATTTTGTCTTATCAAAAATTTGGCCTTTTGTGGTAATATCTATAAAACGGGTAATGTCTGATCTCTTCCAGTGTTTGTAAGTGATACGTCCTTTACCCAGTAGGAACCAATTTTGTCCTGTAGAAGTAGTCAGTAGTGATATCGGTGGTACTAGTGATTTATAATTTTTTCTCCACGCTTTCTTTGTAGCCTTTAAAAATGGGTTTGCCAAAGCTTGTATGTGTTGCTTCTTAGAGTCATTCCATAACCATACACGGAAGGATAAAGAATCTAAATATTGGTCTTCAATTGTCTTCCAATCTGCTAGGTATGTATTTATGTATTTTTGCTAAATTAGCCAAAATTATTGCCTCATAGTATAGTCGTATATCGGGTAGGGCTAGTCCTTTGTTATTTTGATGCCTGCATACTGTGTCAAAATTTTTAATTAGTCTTCAAAAATGCCATATAAAGTGATTAAGGTCCCTCTGCCAATTGGTTAGAATATTATTTGTGATAAATATTGGGACAGCCTTGAAATAAAATATTATTTTTGGTAGGATGAGAGATCTGATAACATTAATTCTTTCTGTTAATGATATGTAGTAGTTGTTCCATTTAGTTAAACGGTCTTTAATATTCTTAAACATCTCTGGATAGTTGGTTTTGAATAGGTCTTCAAGGTTTAATGGGACTTTAATACCTAAATATTGCCAGAAGGATTTAGCCCAGTAAAATCTGTAGGTTCTCCTAATGTCATTTGCATAATTTTCTAACATATTAATAGGGTATAGTATAGCGTATAGAGGCCTGATACTGTGCTAAATTATGATAATCGATAGTTGATTGCTGGTAGGGAAGATTTAGGGTCAATTACGTATAAAACTAAGTCGTCTGTAAACAGGCTTATCTTGAGATGTTTACCATTGATTAAGAGGTTCATCTCTTATAGTATTTTGCTAGAGGTTCAACTGCTAATGCAATCATTAGTGATAATGGGCATCCTTGCCTTGTTCCCTTTGATAAAGTAATATTTCTAGAATTAACACCATTGATTCTTAATATTGCCATTGGAGAAGACCAGAGAGAATTAATCACTGTACTAAATTTACTGCCAAAATCCATAGCTCGCAACAAAGATTGTAGATAATTTGTTTCAACTGTATCGAATGCTTTTTCAATACCAAGGGACAACACACATGCATTTTCAACTTTATGATGGCTACAGAAACGTATAATATTAAGAGTCTTTCTAATGTTGTCAGTCATACCTCTTTGGGGAAATAAAACCAGATTGATCTAAAAATATATAATCTCATATTATTCTATTTATTCTCGAAGTTAAGATGGCTGTAAAGATTTTATAATCCTGGTTTAATAAAGAGATTGGGCAGTAGGATTTTGTATCTGTGTAGTTTCTTCCTTTTTTTGGCAGGACAATTATTTTAGCCATTTTCTAGGAGTTCAGGAGTATCCTGTGGTCTAAGGCTAAATTGTATGTATTAAGCAATGGTGCTGTTAAAATAGGGGAACGGAATTTATAAAACTCTGTGGTTAAACCATCCAATCTTGGGGATTTATTGTTTTTGAGAGTTTTAAGGATTTCTTTTATTTCTGTTTCATTAATTGGTTTTTCTAAAAGTTGTTGATGAGTCGTAGTTAGCACTTTAAGATAAGTGTTAGCAGTGAGGTAAGCGGTAATGGGGGTTCTAAAGGGGGTCTACTAGACAATTCAGAATAGACTTCTCAACTTTATTATTTGCTCTGTAAAAGTGTGGAGTTTGCCTTCTGAATCCTTTATTCTGTGAATGACCAATTCTGTTTTTTCCCCATGCACTTTCCACGATAACAAACAAACATATAGATTTTGAACTTTTATACCAATATCATTATTTTTAATATAGTAAATGTTGTATTTTGTTGACTTCTAGAATTCACTTTTTCCGTTCTTCCAGGAGATGCCTATATATTCTTTTATTACATGTGATCTTATGTTTCTCTTCCAATTTTTCTACATTCCTAGTTAAGTCTACTTTCATTTGTTGTTTCTTTCTTTTATAGGCAGCTGAGACTGAGATAATTTTGCCTCAAAGAACTGCTTTGAAAGTGTCCCAAACGGTGTTCAAAGAGATGTCCCCAGTCAGATTGTGTTTTTAAAAAATCCTTGATTTCCTTCTCTATTTCTGCTGTTATAATTTGGTATTTCAACAAAGAATTGTTAAATCTCCATGTAAAACTCTTTATCTTTGATGTCTGTATTTTTTAAATTACATATCACTGGTGCATGATAACCCATTTGCAGGTTAGGCTTAACAGGAAAGGAAATTTATCGGACCCTATTAACACCTATAGGGGAGTTAGGCAGGGTTGCGTACTAGCCCCTTCTCTGTTTAATCTATATATTAATGATATAGTAAGTTACTTGGACTCCCCCAAGTTTACATCCACCAAAACTTCAACAACAGCATGTGCCTATCTTACTGTATGCTGACGATGCTGTCATTTTAGCTAGAACACCAGTTGGCCTTAGAAGAGCTCTCAGTAAGTTTGCAGACTTTTGTAACAATAAGGAACTAACAATAAATTTTCAAAAAACCAAGGTTATGGCCTTCGGGACCAGACAAAAGAAAAGAATCTGGTCTGTAAATGGGCACTCATTAGAGCAGGTTTCCTGCTTTAAATACTTAGGTATGGTCCTTCAATCAAATGGGGCTAGGAAAGCCCATATACAGTATGTTGCCTCCCAAGGTGAAAGAACAGCCAATGCTATTCTTAAGTTCTATCGCACCAAAGGGGCTTATTATGTGCCAGCTGCCCAAAAACTCTTTCAAGCAAAGGCAGTTGGACAGATGCCCTATGGCACGTTTATTGGCCCTCCTTCCTCTAGTTTTGCCCCCTTAGAGCGAGTTCAGTCCAAATTTCTCAGAGCAGTTCTTCAGGTCCCGAGGTGTGTATCGAATACACTGATCCATCTAGAGACAGGTGCTAATGAGCTTGGTTTCCCCCCTCAAGCAATTTTGAGTATGCATTGGGATGTATCAAAATCAGCCCTAAAACAGAGAATGATGGACATGGAGAGACAGACAGATCTCGGTAGATGTCCTAAGTTTAGAGCCCCAGATTCTGTCAAATATTGCTTGCAACCCATGTCCTATTTATCACAGCTTGATACTCACATGTTTAGGAAAACCTTCACATTAGCCAGATGTGAGGCTTTCCCCTCCGCTACGCTTGAGGGCAGATTCAAAAGGATCCCCACTGAATATAGACTTTGTCGATGCAGCTCAGGAGAGACAGAAATTACTGAGCACATAATGCTCAGATGTAACTGGTATAACAAGATCCGTGACAAATATATTACTCCTCTTATAACAGATATGGTGGGACAATCAGGTGCTGAGCAATGTAACCAATTGTTAATTGATGGGAACCGGACAATTACCGAAACTGTGGCAAAATTTTGGGTAGCATGCTACTGCATCCGAAATACACGATCAAATATATAATAATAGTTGCCTAATAGTCTCTGTTTTATGTTCTTCTTTTACTTTATTACGCTCAACTGTATTTTTATAGAGTTTTATTTTACTGTCCTAAATTCAGTTATATGAATGTTATATTTAAGCATGTGTATTCTATGGCTTGTTGCCGTAATAAATGCCTGACTGACTGACTGGTGCATGATCAGACCATTATTTTAGTCCGATACTTGTTGACTGGAGTCTATTTAACAAGGATGTTGAGAGATTAATATAATCTATCCTCGTATATGTCTGGAATCATGAGGAAAAGTAAGTGTAGTTCTGTTCAGTACTGTGTTATAGTCACCATATGTCCCAAAGATCACAATCTTGTATTATTTTTTAAGGCCAGAGATTTGGTTTTGTTTGGTATTATTTTTGATTTTGTTTGAATTTGCTGATGTCATATCCATCAAGTAATTAAAATCAGCGCCCAGTATTATTGGGCCTTCTTGGAAATTTGTTAAATTTGTCAACGTATCCTTTATGAATTTTAATTAACCAGAGTTTGGAGCATATACCTGTAACCTTTGACAAATGTATATCTGCACTCTTGGTCTGCTTCGACTGCTTGGCTAGAAAATCTAACACTTGAAAATAATATTGCTACTCCCCTTGCTCTTGATGAACCTGGTGCGGTATATCTATTTGGGAACCATTTAGAATTAAGTGTGTAGTTTATGTTATTTTTTAAATGTGTCTCTTGGAGAAGGATGACAGTTGCTTTTTGAGAGTTGAGAAAATTATGGATTCTTTTCGCCTTGATGTTGTTAATGCCACAGCAAATTAAAGAGAATATTCTTATGTTTTCCACCTTCATAGTCTAATTTTTGTTTATATTTATTGAATAGAGCTAGCCCCCATAGATGCAATAATAATTTTAACTGAATTCTTGACTGAATATAAACTTATTAAAAACATTTTAAAAGATATATAAAACTGTTCATAACATTGAAACCAGATATCTAATTGCCAAGATATATTCCCTATATAAAAATCAAATTGTAACCTATAAAACTGCATTTGCAGGTTTTTAATGTATTTAAGTATGAGTACTCTAACTTTGCCCTTACTGTGAGCCAGTTTGGTGTAGTGGTTAAGTGCGCGGACTCTAACCTGGGAGAACCGGGTTTGATTCCCCACTCCTCCACTTGCACCTGGCTGGATGACCTTGGGCAAACCATAATTCTGGCACAGCTGTTCTTGAAAAAGAGTTTCTGCCAGAGTTCTCTCAGCCCCATCTACCTCCCAGGGTGTCTGTTGTGGGGAGGGGAAGGGAAAGGAGTTTGTAAGCTGCTTTGAGACACCTTTGGGTAGTGAAGGGCGGGGTATAAATCCAGTCTCTTCTCTTCTTCTAAAACAGTGTAAATATGCCCAATGAACACAGAGTTTAATAAATTGTACCAATTGTTTACTAAGTATAAATAAATCAAATTGCTCACTTTTTGTTCTGTAAAATATATTTATTTTCTTCTCTAAAGCCCAGTTTGATTGAAAAAAGTAATAATAAAGAATTGTTAACCCCAGCTAACTTAGTACTTGCAATATAGAACAACCCTCCCTCTTACCACCTCGGCCTTTTCCAATACTGAATTTATTATAAAATAAAGTATAACTAAGAATTATAGGCCCTAGTATCATGTAATTAGTCAACTTATTTAAAGCTGGTAAACTCCAAGGACCCTGGAATATCTGGGGTAGGGTCAATCTGACTCTGCCACCCAGTTTACCTCCAAACTAAAGAAAAAGGAAGCCTAACTCCAGGTTCCCCCTCCTCCTCTGTCCGATCTGTTAGGCTAATACAATGTTAATTGAAAGAAAAAGAAAAAGAGAAAACATGTTCAGACCCTAAGTACTTTAAAGTATGTGGCAAATCAGTTCAAAGAAGATTTTCTGTGGTGGATTTCTGATGAGGATCTTGCTTGTGGGGATGAGAATTCAAATTTTCTTTTCAATGAGTCTTTGAGTGTTTCTAAGCTCAGAGAGTGAAATAGTCAGTATCCGCTTTTAAGATCATCTGCATTAAAGGTTTTGTTGTGATGAAAAACCTGAATCGAGCCCACTGGAGACCACCTATATCTGATCACGGCTTCTAGCAATTTTAGTGTAATAGGCTTTAATGTATGGTGTATCTGTAGGGTTTCTGCTAAGTCTGGAAAAATTGAGATATTGAAACCTTGGTGTTGCAGGCTGCTTCTCTCTCTACAAAGCTGGAGTATTTTCCTCCTGGTGCGTATGTCAGGAACTTCTATGATTATGTCCCTTGAGCCTCTTGCCTGGTTTGCTGGAAGAAAGCCGACTGTGTATGCCTTCCTCAAGCTGGAGCAGCGACGATAACCAAGAGACTATAAAGATGGGTAATTCTGTAGACTTGTCTGCTCGCTCCGCAAAGTTTCAAATTCCGTTCTCGTATTTTATTTTATAGTAATAAAATCCTTTCTCATGCCCATTTTTCATGTTTCTGAAGACTTTGAATTTTGTCTGCCGCCATTTCTGCTGTTTGTGATGTTTTCTGCAATGCTGTTTGGATTTCTTCTAGCTGGTCAGCCAGAGGTTGTAGGATATCATGAATATCATTTAAGATTTCTTTTTAAAGTGCTTTTAATGAGTCAATGAAATCTTGTTTCATGAGCAATTCTGTTGAAGCCTTTCCTGAATCTGCTCCAGAGGCCATATTGGTTTTGCCTTGTTGTTGTGTCAGCAAGAAAACGTTGATCAGGTCTCTTGAGCCAAGAAAGTCTGTTAGCATCTTTGACCCATGGTTTTGTAATTTAGTTCTCTGTCCTCCCGTCTTCCCCATACTTTCTTAGTTGATTAGCAATGTTAGGTTGATTTTAGATCCACAGGGGAGGAAAGGGTGGGACCTCAGCTACCATGCACCCAACATCTTTCCCTGCCGATACCACGCCCCCCCCACCAATTCCTCAGTTGTAACCTGCTGTGTTACCTTGGGAGCAGACTGCGCTCAGATCAGGAGATGGCTCCGTTCTTTTGGCCTTGAAGGTTGGGTCCAGATCTTCAGCGATATTCCGGCAATGCTGGGGCCTAAGGGACAAAGGCAAGATGCTGACATACTGCTGGTGCTCTTTGAGTGGCAGCTGCAAACAGGGGTTCTGTGCCTGAGCAGAGCATTGTTTGGAATCATCTAGAACTAAAACATTAATATTTTAGAAATAATAACTTGCTATGTGTGAAGTATTGGGAGCTTTTACCCCACTCAGATCACCTGCCTGCTTAGACCTGCCCTCCCAACCTGAAAGATCTTAGAGGTCCTTACAGGGACTAGTCTATTTAGCTACCCAGTAGCCTGCCTCCATAACCTTTTTCTTACAGTTTAAGGAAAAACCAGGAAAGAATGGCAAGTTGTGTGGCTGGACAGAAGGCTACTGGAAAAAATATCACTGATGCCAGTAAGCAATTTGTCATTTCCTTCACAGTCTCTCTGCCAGGCAGACATATGGGAGGCTAGCAAGCTGGTGGAGCTGGTGATGACTGCAGATGGCATTGGGAACAATGTGAGCTGAGAACCGCCACTTTGGAGTTAGCCATCACATCCAAGGCAAGATTCGAGTACAGCAGCACTTTAAAGTCTTAACCAGGGGTCATTTCATAGAAAAAGAGCTACGGGAACTCATTAGCATAACTCATTAGCATATGCCACACCCCCTGACATCAGGGGCCCGGCGGTGGACCTGCAAGGCCAGCGGGAGTGCGAGGAAGCCCCGCCAAGGCCCTCCCTGGCCCCAGGCAGGCAGGGGTGGGGAGAGGCGGGGAGGAAGCAACTTACCCTCCCTCTTCTCCTGCCTCCTCCTGGCTGAATGAGGGCTGGAAGCGGGGCGGCCAGAAGCAGGGGGCGGGGCTTCGTCCTGTGCCCCGCCCCCTGCATCTCACCCGGGGGAACTGCGTCCCCCCGCGTTCCCCCCCGAAATGACCTCTGGTCTTAACAAGATTTCCAGGGTATCCAAAAGGTTAAATCAAAGCTCCCTCTGTTGTATCTGACAGAGGGAGCTTTGACTCTCAAAAGGTTATACCATGGACATCTTGATGGTCTTTAAAGTGCTACTGGATCCAGATCTTGCTCTTCTGTCGCAGACCGCCATGGCTACCCATCTAAACTATCTTCATGGAAGGCACCGCATCCAAGGCAGTTCGTCTAATTGATGCTTATTTCCCCCGTTTATCCCTCCCTCTGCCTTACTCCTATCAAAGCTGCCTTCAAGTGGATAAAGGCGAGCTAGCAAATTTTAAATACATTCTAGATGGTATGCTCCTTGAAGCAGGGATCTGCCTTCCTGTACTCCACACAGCACACCGATGGCACATAACAAACAGATGGGGAAGGCTAAGATTGGTTCTTCAAGAGTTTTTGAAGAGCATCACCCTTTGAAAGCAGCAACTGGAGCTTCGGTAGGGTTAGAAGAGGTGTCGCGATTGGCGTTCCTCCCAAGACCCGAATGTCCGGTTGCCGTTGTGAGACCTCTTGCCGCTTCGAAACTGGCACCTCAGAATGCGAACGGGCCGTGTATTAAGGTCATACACCAGCTTCCGTTCCTGGTTTGTTCGGTCGTGCGCGCCCTCTCTCTCTCTTGCTGCTCACGATCCGTACCAGCTTCCTCCCCGGTGCCTTCCGTTTCTCCACTTTATTTAGTCTCACAATCAACATCTGCTACAAATAACAATCTTCCCCATGTGTTTCCCATCCACCCCGTTCTCTAGTTGTGTTTTCCTGTTTCACGTGTGACTCTCTCTGTATCCCTGCTCTCTGTATCCCGGCTTCAGGATCGTGGGAGGTAGTGGCTCGCTCGGTGCCTTCCTCGTTGGATTCCATACCAACGGCTGGTAAAGGTTCTCGTAATTTCACTCGAGCTCGTCCCTTCCTGGGTTTCGAACCATGGTCTCCCTGGCCCCCAAACGCGGCTCCCGAACCCCGTTCCTTTGTGGGTGGTCTCAAGGAAGTCGGCGCGAGTCGCGCCAGTGACAAGAGGTTTTCGGGCCAAGTTGCAACAGAATTTGGTAACTTCTTGATTGCCATCACATCACCTAGACAGACAGTGTAGTGTGCTCTGACAGCAACAAGACTATCACGATTGCATTCCTTGTGCCTCGGTGGGGACGGGACTGTACAGACTCAGGGCTCAACGCTAGCAGCACACACACGTTTTCACATAATGACTACAAGAACTTGTGGACCATCAGTCAAAACCACTAATCAGTTCATTGATGCAACCTCACTATCCCAATGAGAAAAATGCGGGTATGGGGAAGATGCACAATATCCTCTCTTAAAATGAGAATGGCAGATAAAGAGATTTTTCTTCTTTCTGAAGGAAGCCATTCTGTCCAGTTATAATTTCAATATTCTCTTCTTACCCAGGTTGTGCAGAGCGACTCTAGTGAGAATGACGCTGAAGAGCCATGTTCACACCTCTACTCTGCCATGAATTTCATCTGGTGGCCTTGAGCATGACACTCTCTCTCAACCTAAGCTGCCTTGCTGGGTTGTTGTGAGGATAAAATGAGGGAGGGGAGAACTATGTATGCCAACCTGAGTTTTGTGGAGGAGAGTGCTCAGCATCAACAGATGCTGATTTTAGTGAAGGTGAAACTTGGTGGACACCATAGGAAGAAAGGCAAAGTCTGGGCAGAAGACTACCTTGGTGCTGTCAGAGCAGAGAACGTGGTCTCTGTTTAAGTAATGTAACAGCCAACAAGAAGCCAGCTCTGAGAAGCCAGAGAGACAGGTCACATGGGGCTGGTAGCCTGAAGGTTTTCCTAATGAGTTGTTCCAGGACCAAAGACAAGCTCCAAAAAAGGTCACCTTTGCATGGAGACCCCAAAGAAGAATCAACAATTACAGACTGGTGTTTCTCTAGACTCCTCATCAACAAAAAAACATGCATTATTTTTCCCTTGTCCAAGGCTGAACTTGGTGCCAACAGCTGGACAGAGGAAATGGCCCTCTAAATCTGACTTTCTGAGTGCAGCATAACTTAAGGAGCCCTTCCCATATACTTCACCAGGTTACTAGTCTGAGCACTGACTTCATGTCTGCATGACCTCCTCTTGAGGGCACATCTGATCTTTCCAGGGATTGAACTCTGGCTGGTGATGCAGCTCCACAGCCAGTCTGAGCCTCCTGTTGAGACAGTAAGAAGATGGAAGAAGGATAAAGGGATAAGGGAGGCGGAAGTAATTTGATTCTGAAGAGATCTGGACTCCTTGTGCGATTATTTAGCTCTTGGTGGGGAGGAAGGGCGAGAGACTATAGACTCAGGGCTCTCCACATAGCAACTACAAGAACCATGAAGTTGCAGACTGTCAGTCAGAACCACTCAGTAGCTCACTGATGCAACCAGCCATCAAGAAAACTGTCTGTCCCCTTTTGGAATTTCTGCACGCATGCTGCCATTCTGAGGACTCCTGATTCTGTCAAGGGCAAAACTGCCCTAGAATTGCCTCTTTTCAAGCATAATCCTCCTCTGCCTTCCAAAAGACTTAATGTGCTTGATCTGGACCAGATTTAATGTCCTTGATCTGGACCAGGCAGTCCTAGGTCCAAACCTCTTCTCAGCCATGATACTCACAGAGAGTGATGGCCCAAAGTCACCCAATTGAGTTAAACTTACAGGGTTGCTGTAAGGAAAGAAAAGCAGGCAAAGGCCGCCCCTTCCAACATGTCTCAGGAGAAAGGAATGGAAAAAGGAAAGCAGCTCCCAGACTAAACAAGATTGACCCTTTAATCCAATTTCAGCAGCTTTGTGGAAAATTTGTGCTTCTGTAGTTACCAGCCACATGGCCCGATTTTGCCACTCTTGTGCTGCACAAATAAGAACGTGCACGACCACTGGAGACACTCCCTCTGTATGTACAGAAACCCGTAGGAGCTTCCAATTTATGCAGCTATGCATTCCTTCTTGAATTGCATGAACAGGATGGTGGTGCCAACTGTCGCATGGGCTGTGGCAACTGCTGGCCCACTCAACCTAACTCACAATAAATTACTTGCATGTTTCAACAGCTCAATCTCCCTCCCCAGGGCTAGAGACACTGGGGGCCACAGAGATCTGGATCAAGCCTCAGAGGAAGTGGTTCCAAATGCCACTGCAAGCAGGGGGGTTCACTGGGTCATCCTGTTGGTCTCAGCTCTGCATGGCCAAAGTGGGAACAACTGTGAGCTGTCTCAAGGGGAGACCAAAGTGTGGACAATATAAATCTGAAGTGATATAGAAATGCACAGAAAATCCTGAAAGTCACGTTTAAGTGGACTGCTATACACAAATTTAACAACTGTAAAGAGAACAGGCAGGCTACTCTTTTCACGGGCACCAAGGTTTTTCTCCAGCCCAGCCAACATGAGGCCTCTCTGCCTATTACCTCTAGCCCTCGGCTCCATCTACGTTCAGAGAGGCTGTGTGCCTCCTTGATACTCTCAGATGCTCCATCCTTGCTGGAGGATCTCCACTGGGCTTTCAGTTCCTGCTCTTGCATATATCGAGCAATCTCCTGGAATGAGAGAGTTTTCCAAATCATCCTATTTGAAAAGCTACAATGAATAGAGCTGCATTCAACAGTTCTTGAGGAGACCCAGGGAGAAAAGAGAGATCTGGGCGGTGCCTACCATACCTGCAGGGTGGGAAGATCTGGCCTTCTTGTGGCATCACACAGCATCTTCCCCCACAAACAAATAACTTATTCCTCCAACCCTTTCAGGCAGACAGCGTCATTGGGGACAGGATCTGTGCAGGAGCGGACTGGAACATTTAAATGGCCCCCGAAAAAGCTGAGTGACCACCGGCAGTGCCATAGGACCACTCAGCTTGGACCTAGCCGGCACTCACAAGAATTGCCTGTCGTTTCCTCCTGTGCTACCTCTCGCCAAAAGCAGCAGGTGAGGGGGCCAGTTGGTTTCTGGTTGGGACTTGTGGGTACTTTTCCAGTAAGTTAAAGGGCCAGCTGACCCTGGATCTGGGACACCCCTGTGACAGATGCTGCACGGATGAGGCTTGAGATGGCTGCTGTGGCCTGCAATCTTCTTAGGTAAATTTGCCTAACAGCAGCTCTGCCTATTCAGCACAGGTGCAGACCAATGTTCCCTCTAAGCTGTGGAGTCTTGTGAGCAAAAATCCTACTTTGGGAGCTACTGGCATTAAAGTCGTGAGTCCGCGATTTGGCTACTGCATAAATTAGCTTGCTCTGGAGCCCTCCTTCCTGAGCTGAGGCAAAAATGTGTGGGCTGGAGGCTAAGAAAACTGTGAGCTAGCTCACACTAACTCAGCTTAGAGGGAACACTGGTGCAGACAGACAATCCCTTGTTGTAGCAAATTGCAGCCTCCAAGGATAGGGATCAGACTTGTCTGAATTCATACTAGGAGAGAGTTCCATCACTAGTGAGGGGGGAAGAACACCTCTGTAGGAACAGAATGCACAGGTGTGAATCTAAAAACCACCATGGGCCACAGAAGACAAGGCAGCCTCTAAAGGTTGCTGACAACATAGCGTGTGCAGCAAAGCCTCTCTCTCAGAACTGTTTCTGCAACTCACAAGAACCTGCAGGGGAGGCAGTGCTTGAAGGACTGTGTCACACACCCTCTCCCCAAAGAGGAACTGTAAAAACAAACCAACACTCTGCCTCCCAGGAGCTGCACCCACGTGAACTGCCTCATGCTTGGCAGTGGCACCTCTCCGCCATGCCTCTGATCGTCAAAAGGTAAGCCACACGGAGCCAGGCTTGGCTGGCTCTTCTGCCCAGTTCCAAGAAGAGGCTGGAGCTTCTACTGAAGGGTGACATTGCTCCCACTGAACTGGGAAGCCCCTGCTTTGATGCCAGCCCCTCCTCTAGCACACCCTCCCATCTCAACACCCCAAATACACACAAGACTCCAGAAGTGGAGCCAAGAGAAACAAACAGGAACGTGGGGAGCAGGCCGCAGCTGGTGCATTACCTCATCCTGAGCCACCTGGGCAGCTCTGTAGTCATCGTTACGCTCCCGGTTCTTCCTGGCTCTCTGCACAAGAGGGTCAAAAAGGTAATAAGCATTTGGAAAAACAAACACTTCGAGAGAGGGACAGAACTGCCCTGTTTCCATGCAGCACATGCCCTTACCTCTCCTTGCACCCAAGAATGTAAAAATAGACATTTATTGCAAAGCTCCAGTTCATGATACATTTTCCAATGCAAGGCTGAAACCCACAGGGCTGAATGCTTAGTTTGGACGATCTAGCAATGAAAGTTTTTGTTGATTGGGCCCATCCAGCCCAGTATTGTCTCTTCTCCGAGTGTCAGCAGGTCTCCAGGGTCAAGGGCACCAGCTACCTGAGATCCATCAGCTGGAGGTTCTGAATGGACAGAGCCTGGGGCCCTTCTGATGGTTCCAAGATTAACTGTGCTAAGGTACAATAACTCATTGTGTCAGCATTTCTGAAAATGCTGTCTTGACAGGGCTGGGCTTTTCAGAACCTGGTAGTAACCGAAATTTCATTCTTAGATGACCTCACAATGACACTTCTCAAAATCAATGATTCTGGTGTACACCATGACGCTGATTATTCTTTGTAGCCTATCCTGAGAGTGTATAATGGCCACAAATGTTAGTGAGGCAAGCCACCACACAGACAAGGCAACTCATGCCCATCAAAAACCCTTATTTCACTTCTAGCAATCAAATCTACAAAGTCTTTAATCAGCTGAGAATTCCCTAGATGCTGTGACTAACCAAATGAATTGCACTTCTGATTTAGAAATAGAAGAGATGGGAAGATACTCACAATAGAAGTTTGCTCCTCTTCTTGCAGTTTCTGAGCCAGTTCTTCATCTTGTCGGAGCTGCTCCAGAGTCTGAAGCTCCAGGTTTGCTATCACCCAATGCAGAGGTTCGGTGTCATCACCTTAACACAGATAGACAAAAATGCAAGCATCAGAAGAAGATATAGGACATCCCAGCTGTGTACACTGTTGATGGTGCAGAGGAGGAACACCTCAAAAGATGGCTGACTATCCCCCTCTGTGGAGCATGGCACGACTGCGTGCAGCATGGGGTGTAAAAGCATATTAAAAAGAGTGGGAAAAGGCAAAATCCACACTAGGGATTATTAGGGAAAGGGACTGAAAACAGGCAGTATCACAATCCCCTTGAGCAAATCTACAATGATGCTGCATTCAGAATGCTGTGCAGAGTTTTGGCCACCCTAGCTCAAAAAGGGCACTACAGAGTCGGGAAAAGAAGGTGCAGAAGAACAACCAAAATTAATTTTGCTGCTTCAAAATGTGGTGATAGATCCTGGCCTGAATATTATGATAAGGGAATTAGACAAACTCGCATATGTCAGGCCTATTAACAGTTCTCCATGTTCAGAGGCAGTATACCATAATTGCTTGGGGGTAATAGGGATGAAGGGCTATTTGCTTTTATGCTCTTCGTGTGGGTTCCCTGGGAGAATCTGGCTGACAATTGTAGGAGATATGGCGTGGGACCCGACAGTCCTTTAGTCTAAACAACAGGATTTTTCTTATATTCTTAAATGAGGAGGAAAATGCAAGCAGGATATGGCAGACACATTAGAGACAGCAGCAGAATAGGCTGAATGTGGAGAACGCCAGTAAAAGGAGGAGGAAAAATGTCAGAAGGGCAGAGGAAAAAAATCAGGGCCCTCAAATGCAACTGCAAGATAGATAATTAAGGTATCTTTTCCTTCTATTTTAAGCTCTTACACCTGCCCACAACAGTAACTGGCCTGTAAAAAGGAGCTTTTCTTTAGGAAAAGGAATTGCATAATTCTGCAAAGGATTTTTCATAATTATAATCACTGTAGTGTCCTAGAAAATGACTTTTTAGTCTGCATTCCAGGAACCTTGATATTCCTTGGAAGCTCATCTGGCATTCCTCAGCCACCCGACTAGTGATGGCAGAGAGGTGTCTCTGGAAGACAAGCAGGGCAATGGTGCGCTCACTCCAAAACATGCACTGTGCTGGGATTCCATGGCCATATTCAGGATTATTATTTTTTTTTCATTTGGGCAATGCTGAGACAATATAGAAAAGTCTCTGTGAAATCCATTCCCCTGGATAGTAAAAAAATCGGTCTATTACTTGTGAAATGGTGCAGCATAATGGCTGGGTGAAATGACACATGATGTTGGGGAATCCATGATTAGATACCCCAACAAACAATTTGGCTGGAAAAAAACCCCCAGGAATTGATGGATAAGTGTTGGGCTTCCTCTAATGTTTCTCTGATTAGAGCTGTCCCTTCCCTGTGGCTTTAGGTCCCAGTGGCAAAAAGGACAGGTTCAACAGGGATAATTGATCTCCCCTGTAACCAGGGCTTAAAGCAGCCAGGGATGGGGGAAGAGAGTTATTTTCATTTGAAGAGACAGCACGGAAAGAATTAACACACCTCTGTCCAGAATGTAGGCCCCCCCAAGCCACCACCACCACCCCACCCCAACGGCTGCTTTTTACAGTTCAGCTACATCTTATCTCAGACTCCCTAACAGTTTGGCCCTGAATGTGAGAAGATCCCAGTTCAAATCTCACATCTGTCCTGAGGCAAACCACTGTGAGGATGGAGCAAGGGGATAATCACACTGGCCTGCCTTTTTATGGATGTTGTAGGGATTACTCATACTGATCAAAAGACTCTTCTTCTTCGACAAATTCTCTCAAAGCGTATTTGACTTGATAGCTAAATTAAACTTTCACATGCAGAGTATCTTTTGAAAACAGGGTGCTGGAGACAAACAATGGGTGAAAGCCATCCCACAAAGCAACCCTTGTGTTGTTCTTATTCATCTTGGCATCCTGTCATGCTAAGACTGCTCGTGACTGGACTGTGGTTACCTTTTTCACCATTGGAGTTCTCCGACCTCTGCTTCTGCTGTCGGATCGCTTCCTCTTCTAAGTCTTGCAACCGCTTGGCTAGCTCCTGTGTGTGGCAGAAAATCAGAATTAATGTGGAGAAGAATCAACACACGAGAGATTTCTAAGGTCCAGCCTCATCTACATGTGCATCTCACCCCTTCTCTGTACTGGGGCAGGGGGAGGGCAGACAAACCAAGATTTTTTAAATAAAGGAAATAGGGCTACTTGCCTCCTCCCATACTGGCCAGCCCAAACTCTGGTATCTATCCAGGGTAGCCCCCTGCCGGAAGCAGCTCTATGCAAATGCAGAATCCGATTGGTGTGCCTGCACAGAAGAACTGACTTTATTTGAAGTGATGGTGGCTGGAATCTGTAGGAAGGCTTTAGCAGGGGATGAGAGCTGCAGCATCCCTACCAATCTCCTGGAGCAAGAGGAAGATATTTCTATTCCAGATCGCCTTTCAAGTTAAACTGGCCTAGGGACAGTGCCTGTTTGGCTATGATGCGCCTGATGTTTTATGTACTGCCTGCTAAAGCAGACGCTGGCATTTAACTGGATTATATGGCTTGTAATTCTGCATTTGAAATTTGTTAAAAAGCCCTGGAGGCCTTCTGAGACCAAACGGTCCTAATACAAACACAGATAAGTGCCGCAGCTGGGTCACTGGTTCCTAGTTGTGTTTCTTGCTCTTTAATTTCTCATGGACTATTCCTTGCGCATGTGTGCATTTATCAGAACCCCAGGAAAGGCTACAAGGCGAGTGGGGTGGACACATGATTTAGGATTGAGGGTTTAACCTTCCTTTTAACAAAATACCAGAATTCAGTACCAAAGAAAGCAAAATTCTGTGACCTGAGTACACAATGCAAATTATGCAGATGTGCATGAGTTTCCTCAATCAGAGTAATTTCACCTGCTCGGACTCAGCACAGGCAGAAATCTGGTCCAGCAGCTTCTCCTCCTTTGAAGGACTGGCCTCCAGCAGGAGTGTATCGCATTGTCTCAAGCAAGGTTACCAAGTGCTTTTTGTCACACCCAAATAATTGTTATTGGAGCGTATCATGAACCACAGTTACTACCGAGTAGCACAGATTTATTAATAACATTTCATTAAAGCACAAACTTTAGCAGTGCCCTAGACTGTAGCTGACACTTTCACCAATGGCAACACTATTAAATCTAACCTGATTTCTCAAGTTTAACCGGGTGAATAAAATCACTAAGGTTCTGCCAAAAGTGAAGACTGTAACAACACATTTGTATAGTTCTTTTCCTAAACACTCAAAGCCTTTTGTGGGTAACACTTTCATTGGAATCAAAGCACTCAAACATACGGAGTCCATAATGCTTTCTCAATATGTGTCCTGCCGCAAGCAGCTGTTTGGCCTGGCCTTGTATTCACCCCACAAACTTCTTTTTAAAAAAGAAACTGAAACGCTGAGGTACTCAGGAAACTGATTTCTATGTTTCCTAGATTGGCAGCTTCTGTGAGATCCTAGTTTAAGATAAAGCACACTCTTTTCCTTTCTCTGGTCAGAAATGAATCCATGAGACTGCCCTTTGCAGAGTTAGACCATTTGTCCATCTATTCTGATCAGCAATAGCAGGTCCCGTCTTGGGCAAACAGATGACGTTCTGTGTGCAAAGTATGCACTCTTCCACTGAGCACTGACACCTCTGCAGATCCAGGAGCCATTAGTGTGAATCAGGGAAGAAACTGAAGCAGTCAAGACAGGTGGCAAGAATAGTCCTCTCCCCAAATCTGATGAACAAGAATTAGCATCCAAGGAATATAAAATGCAAACAATAAGCAGGTACAAACCTGGGCTTGCAGCCATAAGGATCCTACAGAGACACAGTAGTGATTGTAAGCCACTCCTGATCAAGTGTCTGCTCAACAGCGAACATGTAAAAGAGCACTTAGAAATTTGCAGAAGAGAGTTAATTTGCCTAGCATCCACAGTCACAATGACAGACTCTCTGCAACTGAGAGAACAGTCATGTTGTTTTCAAGAGGCTGAGACCCAGTGGGAAGTGCTGCAGTTATGCTATGGCAATTCTCAGGTGTGGGCTTCTCTTCAGCTGCTTGCTTACGATTTTAGGATACATCCCATTGTAGCCAGAAAGGCAAGAAGCATACATTCCTCACAGAGGAAATTCTTACAAGGGTCAGAAGGCCATCAAAACATCTCTGTATGGCACTCTCCTGTTTCTCCCGACCACCCCAGGCACATCAGTGCTTATGTATAAAGTCCATTTTATGAAATGCACCCCACACTGCCTGAACATTGCTCCAATTGACATTATTTTGGACATTTACAGTGCCAGGTGGCCATGCAATTTCATTGACAGGATAATTGTGGAAGAGTGGGCTCCATTAACTTGATATGGCATTTTCTTTCTAATGAAGTATTCTACTTGACCAACAAGATGAAAAGGAAATTCATTCAGGAGCAGAGATTCTGCTTCAGACGTCTCTCAATAGACTTTGTTTCTGGTCTTTTTACGAAAAAGAAACCATTCATAAGGCTGAAGAGGGCTTCTCTTTGACCCAGATGCAGGCAACGAGGGGACCTTTGATCAAGTGGCTAACACGTGGCTACAAAATGTGTCTTGATGTTGCCAAGTTGCAGGTTTGACCTTGGCTGTTGCCTGGCTACAGTCATCTGGGATCTGGCATGTACGAAGGAAGCAGTACCAATGCTGCCTGGCTAGGAGAACATCTGGGACCTGGCATGTACGAAGGAAGCAGTACCAATGAGATAAAGGCAGAATGCACTTCAGATGGCACTTCGATCTCCTGGTTTTATTCAGCCAGATTAATTAAAAAGACAGCCTCCACAAAGAAGCAGGGGTGTTTATAATGGTTGCAGCTGCATCAGTTCATTACAGCTCTAAAAGTTCACAGGACAGCTTGATATGCTACTTCTTTTCATCGATTTGTAATGGAAACAGAAAAGTTGTGCTAGCTAGAAAGCTCATTCACTTTACAAAAGCATCCCGGGCTTCTAAACTAAGAGCAATCAGACATTCACATTAAAACTACAGTGAAGACAACATGACTCCTTGTATCAAGAACATGGAGTCAGAAAGTCTCTGGTTTACATTTCACCTCAGCCATGAACTTATTACTTGGAACAAAAACAACAGGCTTTCAGCCACACATCTACATTGTGAAGAGCATTACAACAACCTGGAAATGAAGGCTGCTGTTGCCACTGCAATAATGCGTGTGCTGCACTGTGAACCCCTCAAAGTCGTATAGGTGGGAGTGGTGATGTGAGAGGCATGCCCTGTAGAAGCCTGGGGCCTTGGCACTGTTTGCTTGGCAAGTTTCCCAGCCAACAGGACAATGCGAGCAGTAAGGACACTACAGATTTAGCAAGCAGTGCTATGTGGCTTTGATTATTCTTAAAAGTCTGCTTGAACGTCCTTTTGAGTCACAGGCAGGCTGACTAAGGGAAGAGAACATAACTCCTGACTGAGGAGCTGAAGGAATCAACAGTTCTGAACTGGCAGGTCAGAAAAACCTCTGGGGAGTTCAACGGCCTAGCTTAGTAAAAAAAACAAATATTAGTGGACCTTAAAATAGCTGTGTTCCCCCCCCTCCCAACAATGGTATGAACAAAGACATGGGAGAATGTCTCTGCCACCAGGGGGCAACAGACACTACACAAAAACAGCGACAAGCATCCCTGGGTCAAGAGCGCAGCAAAGGAAGTCAAGAGTTCCTACCCAGCCCCCAGCTCGACAACAATAGGAAACATTTCAGGCCTGCCTACATCTTCCTAGATGATCCCACAAATCCATTCAAGGATTATTATTATTTGCAATCACTTGATCCAGAAGACACGAGCCCCCTTCAGACAACGCATGCAGAGGGGGAGCAGGGATGAGCATACTGGCCCTGCCTACATGTGATCACCAAAATGTGAGCAGTTCCCATGCATATACATACAAAGAGTATGCATACAGGCACCATGCTTATATTCCATCCATCGTTGAGTAGGTGGGGCTAACACATGTTTTTGCCCTCTCTATGCAAACTACTGTCAACTTGTGTCTCCGCTTTCAAAACGACACCAGGCTCACTTCTGCCTGCCAGCCCCCTTAACCTTTTAGCTCTTTTGAGTGGCACTTTTCCATTCCCCTTCTGAGCCACTCTGCAGCATTACAGCACAGCTCGGTAGGGGAGGGGCTGGTAAAGCTGCCTTCACGCCTGTGCTTTTGTGCAGGCATGACAGAGGTGAAAAGGGGGCCAGCAATGGCAGCGATGGGGGTGCATGGACACCTTTCCCACCCACTCTGGTTGATACAGGTGTTGTGGCAGTGTCATGTTTTCAAGCCCTCGCCTGGAAGCACCCTCCCCCCCCTTCTTCAAACACTTCCCTGTACAGAATTTCCCCTCTGCATAGAAATGGCACTGGTTTTCCATTTTCACTGGTCCAGCACTTTCAAATAAGGCGTGGGAGGAGAAGAAGTGACCTTTGGTGATGAAAACCCCCTGCCCGTAACAAAGGCACCATTCACAAGAGGATCTGAGCCCTTAAGAGGCAGCATAGAAATGTTCTAAATAAACTTCTTCATTCCAAAGCCCTGCAAAGGGGCATCTCTGGGTGTTCTCCCCAACAGGCAATGCTGGTTTGTAATTGCCAATACTCTGGAGATACTTCACAGAAAGGACAGCAGGCAGATTTGCAGAATATGGCCACAATCCAGAGCTCCACAAGGAACTGATGCAACAGCCCCTGCTCACACGGAACTGGAGTCTCTGCATGGTCACCAAAGTGACTGGTGTCGGGGATTTAAGCATGCCTATGGAAACATGAAGCAGCGCATAGCCGCACGTGGATTGTTAGTCAGTCACGTCTATCTGCCAGAAGTCGTTTATTACCTCTGTGTCTGTGTCTCTCTGCTGTCCTTCCTCCCAGGAGCGCTAGGCACTATGTATGGGACTGGTGTCTCCCATTTTATACTTACAACTACCCTGTGAGCAAGTTAGGCAGAAGACGACTGGCCAAAGGTCACCTTTCAGAGCTTCATGGTTGGCATGGACATCTGAACTAGGGATGACATCAAATTTCACAAACCCATTTCCACTGCAGACATGGATAACACCCACTGCAATGGGGGGGGCTAGTGCTCCCTAAGACATCCAAGATCCACACCACATAGGGCCGTAAGGTTTAAAATAGACACACGCGTACCAAATTGGACCAGAGCTCTGTGCTGCAGTACCAACCCTGTGTACACTCAGCCAGCTGACTCCAATCCCTGTCCACAGGGCCCTAAAAATCCACAGTTTCAGATCCTGCTGGTCAGCCTGAGCAATGGGTCCCTGACAGAGTGCACTGTGGGATAAAAGCTCTCATACCCCTTTCTCAATGGCTCCCTTGAGCCTTGACACCTGCCTGGGTCTGCTTATGCCTCTGCTTCTGATCCAGTTGGACTGGCAACCAGCTACTTCCCCCATCCTCCACCTGCGGCCGAGCTCTCTCTGATGCACGCTCCCAGCTGAAGCTCTCTCTCTCGATGGGCTGCCCCACAGAAAGCACACCACTGTGGACAGGTCAAGAGGCTGGTGCAGCATGGGCATCAGCAGACAGGTCCTTCTGATAATAAACTGTATCACCTTAAATGGGTTGGATTTAGGTTGTTTCCTGTTATGATTGCTTCCCTTCTAGAACGCCTACCCCCACCATGAAGTTTCCGGATACAGGCCTGCCTCCAGCAGCCTTTATATGGCACAAATGCACAATTAGTACACTATTACTATAAAAATAACAAAAGTAAAATAAAGCTAACTGCCCAGAAGTCCATTCTGCAAGAACTCTAGTATGGAAGCACTTTCAGATTGTTGTTGTATCAGCTTCCTGCAGATACAACGGAAGATACAGAAATGGTGGAGGGTGGCAGGGATGGGAAAAATGCGAAGACCTGACTTTCCTTCCCCAAGTCGTTTATTAAACTTTTAATGCTCAAAAGGAGTTGGGTACAACTCAAGCACCAGATTCGGCTCATTCTCCAAAGTCAACAACAGAAGCACCAGCCTGCGCTTGGAATGGGCTAAAGTCCATTTCCAAACAGGGCTTTGTTTTCTGTAAAACATTGAATGCTGATTTATTATCTCAAATGCCCTTCCAGCTTTGGCTTCCTGCTTTTATTAGATGTAGCCATTCTTAACTTCTGTCACCATCTGCTCTACCAAAACGGAATCCTTGAAACAGGACACCACGGCAGGCATTTTACAGCCAGGCTGTGGTCAGCCAGAAATGATGGGGGGGGGGGGGGAAAACGGGGGGGGGGATGTGGCAGTGGTTGTACAAATACTTGGAATGGCAGAACCAAATCTATTTAGTGGCTTCCAGAAACATCCCACAATGATAGCTTGCCTTTCCCATTAACCGCTGGAGTAGGGAAGGGCGGAGTCTAGTACAAGCCAGCCAGCTCTCACACTGAGACATCTATAATCAGTTTGTCAGCCCCCGAACCAAGCTCTGTTTTTAATCCTGCTGTGAACATTTATTATGTTTTCCTGTCTGGAGGGAAGATAGCTAATAAAATGCATTCTGCACACCTTTGATTAAATCAGCCTGGAGTACAGCCTTTCACCTGTCCCTGGAATTGCCCCCAAGTCTCCTCACTGAACAGAGGCTTTGTGTGTGTGTGTGAAAAGTGCTGTCAAAGTCACAGCCAACTTACCCCACAGACATGTTTGCGTTTCGGCATGTTTAACAAGGAAGCAGCTGGTTAAGTCTTTTTATTAATGATGTCTATACTATTGAAATCAGCCTATTGTGTGGCTCTAAAATTTTAATTGTATGTAGATGTGGTGATAACTCTGTGCCGTGGTATTAATCTTGGCTGATCTAGGATGGTAATAAAGTATTAATCTTGGCGATGAAGTTAAAGGTAAATGGCTACCCCGTAGGGTTGTTGAGGCAAGAGGTGAACAGAGATGATGTGCCATTGCCTGCCTCTGCATCACAACCCTGGCCTCCCATCCAACTAGTAACCAGGGCCAACCCTGCATAGCTTCCGAGATCTTATGAGATCCAGGTCAGGGCTGCAAAGGGTTTAGAACAGGGGTGTCAAATTCATTTGTTATGAGGGCCAGATCTGACATAAATGAGACCCTGTTGGGCCGGGCCATGTGTGTCATAAAATGTAACGCCAGGTAGCGGAGATGTAAACTTTATAAAGGACACGGACAAACACAAAGATTTTTTCAACGTTAAATAAAACATGCTTAAAACACTAGCACTCTTGCAATATTTTGTCTATTTAACTGTCTCTGATAATTGACACCTCTTGCTCTGAATTATTGCATCAAAATGTTTGTGCTGTAGCAATCTTGAGTATGATGTTCAGGTGTGTATCTGTAAGCTGCAAACCTAGCTTTGGTTTATTGACATTCATTACAAAAATCTCATGCTCAGTGTTCCTAGCCTAGAACCCAGGGGTAACCATGAAATGGCTGTGCATTGCAACCTTTTGTACATAAGTTGCTTCATGTGCTGGTCAAGAACATGAGAAGACATCCTGACACAGACTGAGGGCCATGTGTTTGTCTACAAAACTATACTCTTCCCCAGAGAAGTAATTACAACTTCATACGAAGGAAATGTGCTGGGTGAACTTGGTAAGGACACACACCCTCAGTCTAATCCACCTCACTGGCTTGTTGTTATTCCTCCTCTAAAATAGTTCACATTGCTTTCTTACTGAGAAAGACTGGATCATGAGGGCATGAATACAGTAAAAAGGAGGCAGGAACCCAGTTGTACCCAGGAGAGCCCTGGCATAAGGAGCCCAACAAAACACATACACACTGTAGCAAGGCACACAAGCTCATACCTTGAACAAAACTTTGTTGGTCCTAAAGTTGCTTGGTATTTCTCCCATGTGATTGAGGCAGCCCAGCAAAGCAAGCTCTCCCTCATTCCCTCCCTCCCTTTAGGGAGGAGCCTCAGCCAGGGGAAGGAAAGAAAGGCTTCCCTTTGCCTCCTGCAGCCTGGCCAGAAAGCCAGCTCTGGCTGTTCCCTCCCACCCCCAGGAGGAGGAGGGGGAGGAACCTCAGCCAGTTCTTTACCAGACTCTCTCAACTGCACAGGAGAGGTTTGCCATCTATCTCTCCTGTGTGACTGAGAGAGACTGGTAAAGCAAGCTGTGACATGGCAGCAGCAAGAGAACTGGAAAAGTAAGAAACATCCAGGGCCTTGCGGGCCAGATTGGGGGACACCCCTAGCTTAGAAACTCTCTCAGGTCTCATTCAATATGAGAAGTGCCAGAGGACCACAGCTAGTCCTTTATTTCTGCCAGATGCCTAGGTTCAAGTGGAGCTCCAAGAAAAAGTTTTATAGTTACAAAACAATGTCCTTCTGTAGCTATCAGGATGCTGACAAATTTTATAGGGTCTTATGAGCATGGACCGCACCTGGTAAGACTGCATAATCGCTTCCAGTCCCCAGCAGGAAGTGCCCACAGTGGATCAAGATTTCACAGGCTGCTGTGTTACTTCAGTATTTTAATCTAAAAGTGGCAGAGCAGTGACGGAACCCACCCACTCCATAGTTTGCAGAATGTTCTGACCTCTAGGTCACAAGGCCAAGAAGTTAAGAGACCCAGGCTCAAATCTCTACTCTGCCATGGAAGCTTGTTCGGTTACTATGGGCCAGTTGCCCACATTCAGTCTAACCTACCTAGCAGGGTTGTTGTGAGGATGCCCCCAAACGACAGAAGTCTAGTTCCAGTCATCAATGCTTGATCTGGCCACCGTTCGGAAGCACCCCTTTCCAGAAAGGTCATCGCTCTTGAGGGCTGAATCAATTCTCAAAGCCACAAGAAATCACTCACAGTATGTCACAGCAGAACAAGGACACACTGGGGTCCACGTAGTAAGATATCCTCCTCCCATGCATGCCTTACAGCCCCACTGCTTCTGAACAACTGCATTTGGATGCTGAAAAACTAGCAACTTAGTAGGGTTTGCAACATTTGGGCCTTAATGGGGAACAGCAGGAAAAACAACTGCAGTGCCGTCACGGTTTGCAGAACTGGCGGGAGACAGCAGAGCTGTGGCACCCGGTCAGGAGACACTTCTGTCTGGCATGTCTGGCTACCCTGGAGCTATTAAAGCAGTCCAGTCATCAGGCTGGGAGTTGGCAAATTAAGCCCAACCACCCAGCCTACGAGGATTGACCAGTCAACCCCTGCTCCACCTCCCCATCCCCAGATGGTCTCAAGCAGCAGCAAACGTGCCTAAAATGCTTGATATTTTGTGCCTCCCGCAGAGACTGTCTGTGCTGAATGCTGAACTCAGTGAAATTTTTAAAAATCTCTCTTGGAATGCCAACCTGGAACTTCTAAGCAACCAGGTAATTTGCTGCAGGGTGTTATTAGAGCAATCTTGACATAACTTGGCTGGCAAAAAACTGCACGCCTGCCTGCCCCAACCTGCTCCTACTGATCTCAAAACCCCATTTGGCTCTGCACGTCCTAGTACCTGGTCTCGCTCCTCCCGCTGGCGACTCTCCTCAGCTTTCCTCTGAATATCCTCCTGGATGGCACGGGCAATTTCAGAGTCGCTCTCTTCACTGCACGCAGCAGGATGAAGGGAGAAGAAAAGAAACAATTAGAACAGGCACTCCTAGCCTGGCTGGGTACAGAATTAACAGAACACTAGATGTGCCACTTGAAGTTCTGAATGGTCAGATATGGCACCTCTCATTTGGTGTTAATGCTGAACAGTATACAATCCCGCTACATAAAGCATCTTCCAGAAGCGACCAGTTGCCTTCAGCATCCTGCTACACACACACTCTGGCCATTAATCTATACACTGCCCTTCACATGTATTCAAAGTAGCCCGGAGTCTGCATCCTAGACCCATGGCTGACTCAACACCAGATCCCCAAACACACCATGCTCCCAGGAACGTAGTCATAATTCACTTCTACTGTTTCCAAAAGGGAAGCACATCCGAAAAGCCCCAAAGAAAGGGTGATTGTAACGCCTACATTTGCTTCTGTTGCTTGGAGTTATGGAGCTTCCTCTCTTCCTCCTCCATGCCCTGCAGCCTCTTGGCGATCTTGATGTCCTTCTGAACCAGCTGGTTCTTCTGGATGTTGGAGGTGTAATGTTGCTCAACTGTGGAAAAATGGCAAGAGATGGAAAACTCTCAGCAAGTGCTGAAAGGAGAGGATCTTGTGTGTCCCTTCCTTCTCCACATTGTGTCAATCAATTGTAAACTGCCTGCTGGCAGAGATTTGTCTTTTTAGGGCAGATTGCACAGCACCTATTCCAGCAGGGTAGCTGTTTTACCAAATACAAAAGACCACCCTTGCGGCACATTAAACATATTATAGCATAAGCTCTTTCTGGGTTCACGTTAACTTCCACAGGTGCCATTAAATGAATCCACCATCAGCAAGAACAGAACTGTTGATCTTTGAAGTGTCATAGGACTCTTCTTTTGTTTCTGTGCTGCAACTTGCAATTTTAGGCACTGCTGTAAAGAGAAGATAAGGCTACTGAACATGAAACAGTTAGGCTGGGATCACACACACTAAATAATCCACTTTCAATTCACTTTTGAATTGGATTTTGCCAGTTCACTGTAGGTGATTACGCATCTAGGATTCGCTCCACATTTTCTCAACTTGGAGGAAAAAGTGCAGCTCAAAACCACATTCAAATACCTCGGGTGATGCTGTACTGATTGCAAAGTCACCCCTGAATGGTCACAGGATGGCCATAAATCTATGCAGAAGGTTCAATAAAATCCTATGATCAAAGAAAGAGAAAGTGGCATGGAGTGTGGAAGCTACCATAAAATGTGATGAAACCAGCATGCAATGCAGAGGGGAATTTCTGTTCCAATGTGGGTTTCGTAAAACGACGGAGGGAAAAGCCAATGCAGGATCAGCCACAGTTAAAGTCAGTTGTAAAGTACATTGAAAGTGGATTATTTAGTGTGTGTGACCATAGCCTTAGCTGCTCTAAAGCAGAGGGAGGCAGTCTTTTCAGCCAGAGTGCCAAAAAAACCTACAACATCTACCTGTGAAGATGCAGGTATCCTGGCACCAAAGGAGGAGGAAGGAGAACAGGGCTGTGCTTAGGAATCAACAAACCCCGTGTGCCAACTTCACTCCTCCCAACAATTCCTTGTACGTATACCTTCCATGATGATGACGAAATCTGCCTCAGGTGGGTCATGGGCCTCTCCTGCTGTTGCCCCAGCCTTGAGGAATGCCCTTCTTGAGGATGTGAATCTACGCTGCTGACTTTTAAAGAAGACCTCTGTAAAACTGTGGAATTTAGGGAGGCCATTTGGAGGCACTTCGTTTCTGGTTTAACAGTTTGCAGGCGTGATTTATGGTCTGAATTTGGATGCTGCTTGAAGTGGTTACTGGTTTCAAAATTATTTTTACAGCTGTTAATGCTTGCTGTTGCTATCTTTTGGAATATTTTCTTTTCTAAGTCACCTTTCTCTTCTTTGGGGAGAAAGGTGGTCATTTGTAAGTATTTTAATTAAAAAATAAAGTACAGGCTGAAGAATGGAGCAACGAGGCAGGAGTTGGGTCCAGGACTGGAGCAATGCATAACATGGAGAGAGGAATAACGAACATGGGAAGGTGGAAAGAAACCTTTGTAAAGGAAGGAGGAGAGAGGGTGCAGCCTAGGGCTCCTGGCCACATTTCCAGCTCTGCATTTACCTTGCCTCTCTTTCCTTACCATGTCTCTGCTTTTTACAACTACATGTAGACTTCCAGTCCTATCTTGACGCTCATCTTCACTTGACTGCCTTCTGGTGCCTGGCAGTTTCCTTTTACTGGATTTGATCTGCCACTAAGTTCCAACTTTGGGGAAGGGCCATAGTTTAGTGGTAAAGCACCTGCTTGGCATGCAGAAGGGCCCAGGTTCAATCCCCAGCATCCCCAGCTGAAAGGACCAGGTAGTAGACAATGTGAAAGACCTCTGCCTGAGATCCCAGACAACTACTGACAGTCTGAGTAGACAATCCTGACCTTGATGGACCAAGGGTCTGATTCACTGTAAGGCAGCTTCATGTGCACACGTGTTCAACGGCAGCTGCTAACTCTGCAAAGGTTACTCCAGTTCCTAGTGCTCTACTTCTATGGCTGGCCTGGAAAAGAAGTATCTTCTTCAGCCAGCTAGCACTCTAAGAACTAGAAGCAGGGCAGGATTTGCTCCTGGCTCCCAGGTCAGTTAAGGCTCCAGAGTGACGGGCAAAACAGCAAGATTATTCACCCCTTCAGTTTGCCCAGCTCCAGCCAGGAAAGTCTTCAGGAACAGCTGTGTTCTCTCATAGGAAGCAAGGACCTGATTAGCAGCCATTTCTGTAGCCCTTTTTTGCAGCACACCATGTGTTTCATAGTTCTTCTGATCTAGTGCCCTGTCTCCCACCCCTTCTGTTTCCAGGACAAGGAGAAGCAACCTCCCATACTGGTAAAGCTATGTTGCTCTTTATATGTTTGCAGGACACAAAGAGCAGCTCAAAGAATGATGCGAGAGTAAACAACCCAGCTTCAAAAGGCAGGCAGGGACACTCACAAGGAGAACTAAAGACAGCGCCCTTTGAAAACAGCAATCTTTTGGTCGGTTTAACTCTACCAAGTGTTTTTGCCCACCTTGAAATAAAGGTTACTAAAACAGATGCTGTACAGCAGGAAAAATTCTGGTTTAAAGTTGTTTCAAATGAAAAGACTTCTGGGGAGCATCTTGTTTCATGCATGCACACTGCTTGCTTGAGCACCAGAGGAACATTATAAGGGCAGGGAGAGTCTTTAGTGAGGCACTTGCTTCCTGGTTGCAGAACTTGGGCTGTTTGCACATGGAGGTTTAGCTCTGCCTTGTCTTTCTTAAAGCAGCACTGTTTCTAGAAGCATCCGCATGATGCCATCCCTTTATTCTGCTTCCATGTTTTCCCTCACTCTACTGTGACTTTCCTGAAAAGATCAAAGCCAAATGAACTGCTTTGGATACCATGTAGATACACTTCTGGAGGTCCCACCCACAGCAGCACCATTTTTCTTGATTCAGCCCCCCCGCAGCTGTCATTCCCCTCCCTCAAATGGAAGGGCTTTAATAGCAGGAATTGCTAGATCATTATAGTACTGCAACATTATAACGATCTTTTGCCATGATCTACTAATTCAGAATTTTCATTTTAAAAAACTTCATTCTGGAGTTATGAGGGCAAAAGTACAGGTTGCACATTTCCTCCTATAAGTAGGCAACAAAAAGGGTCAGATACTTATTTTTTTAAAAAATGAAAGCTGGGAAGTAGAAGACTGTGGCAACAGATCAATATACATATTGTTGCAACACTACAACTATCTAGCAATTCCAGTTCATCAAAAAAGGCCTCCCATGTGGGGAGGAAACAGTGGCTGTGGGAGGATAAGACAAGGAAAGTGCAGGAAACGCTGCTGTGTGGGCACCCCACCACCACCACTGTAAATGACTCTGCATTTGCAGCAGCAGCAGCAAGAGCTATTCAGAGAATGTCACCATGCGGAAGCAGCCTTGCAAATGGAACCCCACTGAGGAAATGGAAGACACTGCCCTTCTGCTCCTACAACATATTCAGTGGAGACACTGCCTTTTGTCATCTTCTGCAAATGGATTTTATCCAGTTTTTGAGCAGCCATTAATGTTGGCTTCGCCTCTACAATAGCTGGTAGGACAAAGCACAAGATGAAGGAAAGCTGCACAGAACGGTCTTTCATTCTGGTTGGCCATGTGCTTCCAACAACCAGGTCATTTATGAACTTCCCATCATACACAGCAGCCTGATCTAAACTGCCATTCATCACAGTCCATGGCAGCTTGGGGGTGGAAGGATCAGCGTATTGATCATCTTCATCACAGCTGTGGGGAAGTCTTGACGTCATGAAGTGGTTCATTAGCATTCGTTGTGGCAGCCAAAACAATTACGGGATGAAGAAGACAACACCTCTGGGCTGTGAAAGGGACAATTCCCCATGAACAGCTGCCAAGAAAAGCCACCTGAACGAGCAACCTTGAGAACGTCCCTGAAAAAATGCTACATCTTCTGACAATATTTGCGTCAGTCGACTCATTAACATTTAAGGGTTTAGAGACAGTGAGGCTCTGGACTCCATTTAATTAACCGAATATTATAATTCTTTTTTTTTTTAATGGAACAGTGTTAGAGGCATCCCATACTCTGGCAACCAAGGGTACTGCCAAAGTTTGCCTCACTGATTCAGCAGGACAAACATATTCCCAGACATTATCTGAAAATAATGTTAATCAGTTGGTTGCTCTTGGCCTCTTCAGATTCGTCCCCCAACTTTCAATGCTGAAGGAACTGGCCGTTGCTCCAACCAGGAAGAAAAACAGCCAGTGAAAGCCAAAACACTAGCCAGAGAAGGTTAGAATTATATCCCACAATTATGGAATAACCTCCCCAGGGAGGTGCACCTGGCCCCCTCACTTTCCATCTTTGTGAGGCAGCGGACAACAGTTTTATTTAGGACTGCCCTGTGATTTTAAATTTTGTTTCTATGGAACCTATTTTATGTATTTGTAACTATCATAGGCCACCTTGAGTTCTGTAAGGAAGAAAGGCAGTTAATATTTTAAATAAAGAATTTATTTGTAAATTTCCTGCATTGTGCAGGGGGTTAGACTAGATGACCCTGGAGGTACCTTCCAAATCTATGATTCTATTATTCTATATAAGCCTGGCCCATCACCCCGAGTTCCAGCTCTTACTCTCTTGTTCTTGCAGACAGTAGGCCAAGGCACCATCTTCCAGGACAGCAAAATCTCGGCAAACTGCACGGAAAAAGAACAAAGAAGGAATTCATCAAGACAGGGTTCAGTTGTCTTATCAGCACAAGTTGCCACTGAAAGATCTACAGGAATCCACTTATCTGTTCACCAGCAGCAAGAGCTCCCGCTCCACATGCCAAGTGCAAATATTTCCTTCCCATTCCTCTGCTCTATGGATGGGCAGAGGACTGGGGTGGAGGGGAAGACGCAACACAAAAGGTAGAGAAAAACGTCGTCCCCCCCTTCAAAAGGCACATGAGGGCTAGCATGAGTGATTGCCTCCCTCCTTGCAGAAAGCAGGGCAGTGGCCACAATTTAATAAAAGTTATGATAAAGGGTTTGTGGAAGAATGATTCTAAGTATGCCCTAGCATGCTCGCTTTCTAGAACTTTGAACTCAGCCGCATTTATTTTATTTTTTTTGCCATCAAGTTGCAGCCAACTTATGGTGTCCCTGTGGGGTTTCCAAGACAAGAGATGCTCAGAGGTGGTTTGCCATTGCCTGCGGCTGCGTCGTGTCCCTGGACTTCCTTGGTGGTTTCTCATGCAAATACTGACCAGGGTAGAACCTGCTTAGCTTCCAAGATCTGGCTAGCCTGGGCTATCCAGGTAAAAGCAGCATTTAATTAGCAACAGCTTTATACTCAGGACTCCTCCCAACTAGAGGCACTTTTCTGTATTTTTTTGAAGTGACTCATCAAAGAACAACTGCATTTCTCACCTGCAGCAGACCTGGCAAGGGGCAGAAGCTTTTTACAAAAGTGAAAGCCCTAGGGGAGGGTCTATTTTGGTTGTTTGTTCACCCTTCACTTGAACAATCCCATTCCAGTTCAAAATTTACTGCACTGGGAAGGTTCACAACCAAAGTTTCAGAGCTCACTCTGAAAAGTTAGGCTTGCCCTAAATGCGGCAAGGGTGCTTTCAAACTGGCTCCACTGATTTAAAAAATGTTATTTACATCTGTCTTTATTATTTTATTGGATGAATAAAAAGAGGCCCTTGTTCCTCCATGACTATAACAGGAGAAGACACTGACGAAAGCAGGACCAGAGGAAGGAGGAAGCATAATAAAAGCACATATTATATTACTAAATAGTTTCTAGTGCTTTTGGAGTGTTCAAGGGACTTCACACACATTCTCTCAGTACTGTTTACAAAAATACCACAAGGGGGTGTGGCACTACTACCCCCATGTGGCAGACAGGGCAGGGGACTGAGGCTTGGAAAGCTGGTCTGCTAAAGGCCACCTAGTGATTTCACAGTGAAGGCAAGATTCAAACGAAGGACTTCCTAACCCATGACTCATATTCTGAACTAGGAGTCACATGGAAGCACAGCGCACTGTAGAAATGCTAGTGTGGTGGTGGTCAGAATGCTAAACTAGGTTCTGGGAGATCCAGGTCCAAATCCCTGCATGGCTATGCTGTGTGGGTAAAATGATGAAAGAACAACCACGCATGTCACTCAGAGTTCCTGGGAGAAAGAAGATAGTAGACAAAGAGAGAGAGAGAGAGGAGGAAAAATGACCCATTGTCAGACTACAGGGTCTTCAGCAACTCCGCTTCGCTTCTGTGAACACCCTCGCCAAGAATGCAGCTTGCCTGCCGAAATCAACAGGCACCTCCTTGTAGAACCTCTGCCAAAAAATGGGTGTGCTCAACAAAACAGTGCTCCCTGCCACTGCCAACACCTCCCCCCATGGCGGCATTCCACAGCTTCACAGCTGGCAAGAGTCTGCAGCTTGATTATGTGTTGAAAGTTCTCTCTGTGCACAGGACTTATCCCACTGTTGACAGAAGCTGAGGCATGAGAGGTGGTGGTTCCTCACGCTTCTGAGGATTACTGCAGGGCCAAAGCTCACCACTCTGACCCTGAAATGGGCTAGTACAGCAATGGCCAACTGGAGGGGGGGGGCACACGGGTCAAGGAAGCCGCAAGCAATTTCATCTGGCTCCTTACACTGCCCAGCCAAATTTTAACCAAGGTGCAGTAAGACTTTTGCCCACTGTTTCACTTGAAAGGAAAAGAAAAATGTGTTCAAGCTGGAACATTATTACACTTTTCTTTTGGGTTCAGTACCGATTGTTGCAGCTGTAGCCAAAGGCTTGCCTGTGAAGCCCTTCCTGATAGTTAGTGCGAATGTTAGAATGGAGCCAGGAGGGGTCAGTTTGTGTTACAAAATATACCGCAATCACCCTGGGGCCACTCTAAGGAGATCAGATCAGGCTTTCCCCCCCTAGTCCGGGAGTGAAGGCCGGCCAGCACGGCAGTCACACCCCATCTCCAGCTAGAGCACTGAGGTCTCCAAGAGTGGATGAGACGGTGATGCTGTGAGGACGGGTTTAGATTTGTTAGGTACTGGGGAACCTTTTGGGGCAAGCCAACCCTGTACAAAAGAAATGAAATGAAATTTGAAATGAAATGAAACCGAACTGCTGGAACTCAGTATTAAAGAAAAGGAGACAAAGCAGCTTTTAAACTAACTCCTGGGGGGGAATCAACAGGCGCTAGAGACCATCTGGTTCAGGATGACTCATCTCTATTTATTTATCGAGAAAAATACTCCACCTCTCCAGACACTGGCTTGAGGCAAACTCACAACTAAAACAACAAAACAAAACCAGCCATTAAAAATAAGGGCCTATGGTAATCTAGGTGTGGGTGGGCTAGAACCTGATAGTGAGAGTGGTGTCAGGCAATGAGAGCCAATTAAGGACATCAAAGAGCCATGGGAGGGGGAGAGACATGCATCCTGACAGTACTTGCGGACGAAACAGAGGACAGGTGTTTATATACAAATGCTAGAAGTCTCCAGGTTAAAATGGGAGAATTGGAGCGCTTCTATGAGAACATAGAAGTCAGCAAACATTTCAGAAACTAAGTGGGACAGGGAAAACCAATGTGTATGAAATACAGCCCTTTGCTCAGCAATGCTATCACATATCAAATTATGAACTTGGCCTTGAGTTGAAGATCAAAAAATCCACACAATGGGATTCCATATAGATAAGGGAGATGTTTTAGCAAATCTGAGAAACCCCAAGTTTACAGAAGAACCTGAATGTTCAGAAAGCAATACATGGGGGAGGGAGTATAAAACCCCAAATCACTGAAGCTTAAAAAGGAAAGCTGACTGAGATCTCGTAAGACTATGTTGCAAGATGTCTATGGCAGTTTTGAGGTTGCTGGACCACCCCCAAACAATACTACAGAGGCTTCTATGCCACAGTTTGTGTCAGCCAACATGAGGAGAAGGGAAGGATTTAAAAAAAAAGGTACGTGGGAGGGAGAGAAAGCGGGGGTGAGGGTGAGAAAGGAATGAAGGACAGAAAGAAAAGCTGAAAACGATGAGGACAGAAAAAAGTAGGCCAGAAGGTGGGAGAGAAGAAAGGAAGGAGGGAAAGGGGAGAGACCACCAGGGCCAATAGAAGGGAAGGAAATGAAGAATCAGTGAAAGAGGGAACGGAGAGATAGTGTGGGGACAGGGATGTGCAATTTCTGTGCTTGAATATTTATAAAAATTAAACATAAAAAAATAAAATATTAACTTGTTCAGAATTAAAAGATGTGAGATTACTGAGTTTAATGTCAGGGAGGGTGAAAGTTGCATGGAATTACTTTGCTAGTGGTTCCCAAAAGGTATAACAGCCTGTATCTTACCACTCCACTAAGCAGCGTTTGAAAGTTTCCTCAGCCTAAGCAGCCTTCCTCCAATTCAAACAGCCACTTAAGTTGGAGAAAGGTTCCTGAGGTTGGAGGAATTTCAAGCCTATGATACAATAGCACCCAGTGAATTTATAAAATAGTTTCATGAAAAAGTTTGAGAAACTCTAGTATAGAGAAAAGATGACCTAGGGCTGGGGAAAGAGATTTATAAAATTATGTACGGGGTGGGAAAAGTACAGAAAGAAATTTTTGTTCTTCATTCGTAAAATAGAATTCACAGATGCCCAATATCATTGATGATAAGCAGATTCAGGAAGATGAAACAAAGCAATTCTTCAGAGAGTCATTCTTGAAGAATTCCCTTCCACAGTACACAACCACTAGCTTAGATGGCTTTAAGAAAGGAGATAGGGTCCATCTGTGGATACCAGCCTTGATGGTAACAATATACAGCTTCTGTATTCAGAGAGACTAACCTTCTTAATACCAGTGCTGGTTGGTAATCATAGATGAAGATTTTGGCCTCTGTGCTCTGCAGAAATGCATTCTGAGGGCATCAGGTTGGCCATTGTGAAACCAGACACTGGACTAGATGAATCATTGGTCTGATTCAGCAAAGCTGCGTTAGGTTCAAAATTGCACATTGTTTTTTCATACCAGTAAATACGTAGTTACCTTTCTCACCGAAGTTGGATTAGAGCTGTATTTTACCAATCCAGGCTAGGTCTACAGCCTGTTCTAAGACTTCAACCAGTTCTAAGGAGTCAGCCACTTCGAAAACTTACCTTCTTGAACTGGGGGCAGTCGGGAGCTGTCGATTTGAACTTCAGTCATCTTCTGAGCCAGGTGCTTTGCTGCCTGTGTGCTGAGTAGCTTTCACGCACTCCTGAGAGTGGGAAGACAACCTGTAACAAGAGGCACAGTGAGTCAGTAAGACTCTGTGGTGACAACCTGAGTGGTTAACCTGAGTGATTTTCAAAGACGCCAGAGGCTGAACATTGCACAAGCTCAGATCACAAACTTCTTGAAAACTGCACAGACAGACAGTCCTGCTGGTGCTGGCAGCCCAATATGCTTCTCCTAAAGATTTTGCCTCAAGTCTCGGGAAGAGGAAATTATTTTCCCTGATGAAGGATAGATAGCAACAAGAAAATGCTCTCCATATTTCTACAGAATGAAGTGGGGCCACTCATTAACTATTAAATATACTAAAGAGGAATTTATCAGTTAAAAACACTTCTGTCCCATCTCCCGATGCAGGTGAGGCAGTCTAGAACAAATTCAAATTAGATCAAAAGAGCTTGTTTAGGTGCACCCAAACCACTGGGTGTGCCCAGTGGAATTTTTCTACTTTTTCCTTTGATCAGCGGACACCCCACCACCACGTCAGTCACGGCACAAACCGCCTTTGAAACTCCCTTCAGTTTCAAGAGATGTGGAATGGAGGAGAGGAGCTGTTTTTCAAGAAATGCAAGTCCAAATCTCGCTTGGGAGCAAGGAACTAGATAAGTGGCTCTTTGGATCAACTGCTGCTAAAGCCTATATAGATATAAAAGCAGAGCAATGTTTTTAAAAATCCCAGTATTTAATTACCAAAGCAGCCTCTCAATATGAAAGCAGCTAGATACAACCACATAAGCCTTGCACCTATTCTAGAAGATCCCAGAGAGCCATGGATTGCTGTGGATAGGCTGTGGTACTTAGATTGGGGAGACATAGGTTAGACTGGGGAGCCCTCACCTGGATAACCCAGGGTCAATGCTCCCTCTAAGTTGTGGAGTCTTGTGAGCAAAAGTTCTACTTTGTGAGCTACTGGCATTAAAGTTGTGAGTGAGCAATTTGGCTACTGCATAAATTAGTTTGCTCTGGAACTATCCTTCCTGAGCTAAGACAAACATGTGTGAGCCAGAGGCTAAAAAACTGTGAGCTAGCTCACACTAACTCAGCTTAGAGGGAACGCTGCACAGGGTAGCCTCATCAGATCTCAGAAGCTAAGCAGAGTCACAGCCCTGGCTGGTATTTGGTTGGGAGGCCTCCAAGCAATACCAGGGTCATGACACAGAGGCAGGCAATGGCAAACCACCTCTGAATGTCTCTTGCCTTGAAAACCCCATGGGGTTGCTGTAAGTCAGCTGTGACTCGATGGCAAAACAAAAAAAGTTAAATTGCCCTGACCTGGATGGCCCAGGCTAGGCTGATCTCCTCAGATCTTGGAAGCTAAACAGGGTCGGCCCTGCTAAGTAGCACTTGGATGAGAGACCACACACAAGGTCCAGGGTTACTACACCAAGGCCAGCAATAGCAAACCACCTCTGAATGGTCTCTTGCCTTGAAAACTCTATGGGGTCACCATAAATCAGCTGCAACTTGATGGCAAAAAAAAATTCCATATCAGACATGACATTTACGGAATGACCTTAAAGCCAGTTACTATAAACTTAGTGTACTCCATAAAAGTTGCTCTGAGGAGAAAAGAGAGCAATCCCATATTTGAGCTCCTTGGCATAAGGGCTGGTTGAATCCTGGTGGTACAGATATGTGAGGGACGAGTTTCCTGGGGTCTGTTTGCTTACAGATATTCTGTTTCTGCATTTACACATTTAAAAGGGCCTGGAAGGACCTGAGTCGGGTTTATTTATTTAGGTTCACTTCTTTGCTGCCTCTTCGGAATAAAGCTGCCCAAAAACTGCCTCACAAGAAAAGCAAAACAAACAAGACCATCACACAATCAACCAACCGTCAGAACAGCTGACAATACATTATAAAAGCAACCCAATGGAACAACAGGAGGTTAAAATGACCCGAACGGGCATAAAAAAGCCAGAAATAAAAGCTCAACAGGAATAAAAAAGCCTAGCCCCACCAAATCCTATGCAACAGGCCTAATAAAACAATACAAAATGATAAATAAGCAGATAGTAAAAATGGTAAAATGGACAAACAATAAAAGCACACGGTTGTGTATAGGAAAAAAAAAGGACTCAGATAAAAACTTGAGCAAATAACAATGTCTTAGCCTGGAAAGTAAAACAATGGGCACCAAGTGAACTTCCAGAGGGAGAGCGCTCTATAAATGAGGTGCCCCACCGGTTGCCACCTGCCTCACCTCAGAGGGAAGGAACAGAGAACTAGGTCTGGGCTGAAGATCTCCACAAATGGGCAGGGTCACCTGGGAGAAAGTGCTCCCTCAAGTACCCTGGTCCTTAAAGCCATTTTGGCCTCTTAAAGCAAGAAGCAACACTTTGAATTGTGTCCAGGAACAGACAGGCAGTCAGTGCAGAGACTTCAGTAAAGGGGCAATATGCTCCCCACAGCTAATCCCAGACAACAAGCTTACTTACGTCAAAGGCAGCAGCAAAAAAAGAGCACATTGCAGTAATTTAACTGTAGCCCAGGTGAGCCCGATCTTGTCAGAATCAGAAGCTAAGCAGGGTCAGCCCTGTTAGTATTTGGATGGGAGACCACCAAGGAATACCAGGGTCACTATGCAGAGGCAGGCAATGACAACTCACAACTGAACATCTCTTGCCTTGAAAACTGTATGGGGTCGCCATAAGTTGGCTGCAACTTGATGGTAAATCCCCCTCCCAAAAATCAGAACATGAATAGCTGCAGACAATGGTGTAATTTTTAGTAGAGTTACATCCTTCTGAGCCCACTGTAGTGCAAGTTTCGTTTCTCAATCAAGTCAATTCATTCCACATGGAGGCCTCAAGTGTTTATTTGCAAATACACTTTCTCAGGCTATGGAAACCGCCTTGGACATGCCACTAGATGATTTACACTGGTCTGCTGATGGGGTGAATGAGTCCTGGTGGTTTTTCTGGATCTCTCAGTAGCCGATACTCTAGAATATATTATCCTCCTGTGTTGCCTCTTCACCATGGCACTGAGCTTGAGAGCCGCTTGCAAAGCAAGGAGACACATGAAGCTGCTTTTTACTGAATCAGACCACTGGCCCATTAAGGTCAGTATTATCCACTCATACTGGCAGAAGGTCTCCAGGGTCTCTGGTAGAGGTCTTTCACATCACCTACTACCTGGTCCTTCAACTGGAGATGCAGGGGACTTGAACCTGAGACATTCTGCATCCAAAGCAGATGTTCTACCACTAAACCACAGCCCCCTTCCTTGCCTCACAAGCTTCTCTCAGACCCAACATAAGCTCTGGAAGATTCTCCTGCCTTGTGCGAAAACACAGAGGAATTTCCTTCTTGTTCCAGGTTAGGGATACAGTGCAACATTTGGCTGCAGTTCCCCTTCTCGTACCTAGTGACCTAAACTGAAAGCCACGTACCTATTAGTAGGTCAGAGACATAGGGCCACCCATAAGCAAGACAGGGGTGGTTGCACATTCTTGAGTGCTCAGAAAAACATTAATCTGTAGATTCTTTTTTTTTAAAGGCCTGATGAAGACTAAGCATGCCCATTGCTCTCCGAGAAGCATATACTGTCTATTTAAATGGCAGGAGAAGGGGAAATCAGCCTTTAGAGTATCTTGGATGGGGATTTAGTGTGTGTTCCTCCTAACCAGGATTAACGTATAACGCTGACTTATACGGAGTTGTATCATTGGTCCATCTAGCACAGGCTACTCAAACTGGCAGAAAGGGTCTTTTGTGGAGATATCAGGGGTTGAACTTGGGACCTTCTGAATGAAAAGCTGGTGCTCTTCTACTCTTTTCTCTGAAAAACAGGTTGTAAGGAATACGAGCTTGAACCTGTGCTTCTCCCTGCAGAGACCAGAACACTCCAGAGGCAGCAAAGCTGCCCTATTAGGATGCCTTATAGTGCAATCCTAAGCAGAGACGTGCCCTTCTAAGTCCACTGGAATCAATGGGCTTAGAAAAGTGTAACTGCTTAGAATGGCACCGTCAGATATCTTGGCCTCCTGGCACGCAAAATGCGATAAGCTTTTAAGGGCTCTGATCAGTTTTAAGACAAAAGTATCTTGGAATGGCAATTAATTAGTATTAGAGCAGGGGTGTCAAACATGCAGCCCGGGGGCCGGAACAGGCCCCTGGAGGGCTTCTATCAGGCCCGCAGTGGAACTGGTTGTCTTCTGCTGCTTCTTCCAGTTCTGCTGCTGCTGCCATCATCGTAGGTTTGCAGCTTACAGATACACATCTGAACAGCATACTCAAGATTGCAACAGCACAGACATTTTCATGCAATAACTCAGAGCAAGAGGTGTCAGTTATCAGACACTGTTAAATAAACAAAATATTGCAAGAGTGCTAATGTTTTAAGCATGTTTTTATTTTAAGTTAAAAAAACCCTTTGTGTTTGTATCCTTTCTAAAGTTTATATCTCTGCTACATGGCATTACATTTTATGACACACATGGCCCAATCCAAAAAGGTCTCATTTATGTCAGATCTGGCCTTCATAACAAATGAGTTCGACACCCCTGTATTAGAGGAAAAACACTTCCTCAGACACTAATTAATCGGGCATACACAGATAAATATATAAGGTAGCAGCAAAAAAGGAAAGCAGATAGGGAAAAGACTAATGCCAGAGGCCAGGCCAGGCAGGCACACCTACATGAGAGGAGAAATGGAGTGCTAGACTGCAGAGTAAGGGAAAATTTTGGAATTTGGAATTTCCCAACTGTCCCCCCCCCAAAAAACAATTCCTCACCAACTTTTGCTGTATTTCCCTACCTTGCACAGAAAAATCTCAGATTCTGTCAGGGCTGAGACAGTGAAGCAAGTGAAGAGGCACTCTTTGGAACAGCAAAATATATGGTAGTTTGAGGCCATCTGTGGCAGCAACTGGAACTTGGAGCCACCTTTTGCGAAGGTGGCCTTTCCCACGTGGCAATGCTTTCCAATGGGAGAAACGGTGTCACTGCAGCAGCCAATGAAGTGAAGTGGCAATGGGGCTTCCAGATGGCAGCTCT